ACTGGTGGATTTATTGGTAAATCTAATTTTTATTATCTGAGATAACTTCATTTGGAACAATTGTGTTTTATCATTTATATTTCAAGAAATATGTGATGAAAATGTCTAGGAATAATTGTGAATTCAATGCACACAAATATCACTTCGTTTGATCAATCCAACTCGAAAGGTCCAATGGTTAGATAAAACAAAAGATTTGTCTTGATTTAAAAGTACAACTACAGAGATTTCGTAAATATTTTTATGATCTTTGGTCTATTTATTGTGATTAACGCTAGGAATGATAAAGTACTTTCGATAACATGTCAAATTACTAATAGTAATGTGAGAGAAATGAGATGAATATTAGAATAATATAAGTTGTGTTGAAGTCAACTTCATGTTCAGTGTCAACCAAGTGATCAAGCATAGGTTTCTTAATCATCATTGCACAAGCAAGTGGCTATATGGATTCAGTAGCTAAATGGATAACATGTTGACGTTTGAAGCGAACGGTACTGAGTTCGAGTCACACAATGAACATCAACTCTGAGATGTAGGTACATCCAGTTGATGAGTCCCAAATATGACGAAATGCACGTGAAACTGGATTTCAATACCAGCCACTATCGATCTTTGCATATAATGCTTGTATCTCGATAATAGTTTTTCTTTTTAATAACAGAAAACTTAAAACAAAGTGTTGTTACGAAAAGATACTCTAAAACTCGTGTATATACTGACTTGGATTCGATGAAAATTGAAGCTAAGAAACATATTTTTCTTATTCATGAGTTTCTTTTCACTTTCTGTATAAACAACATTTATCATAATGTTTACAAATTTTCTTTTTTAATTAAAAAGCATAAACTTTCTCAGCGACAACTTACAGCATTACAGAATTAAAGGAATTAAAAGAATCTATTTGATTTCATGCATCTTTTTATTCTATAGAACCCAAGTGTTGTCTAAGGCGGTAGTGTCACAATTGATTGATCACTGGGTGGTGATCAATATCTTGCTTGTCTAGTCCTTATTAGTGCAGATCGAATGCTATCGATCATGTTGCAATGTGGCCACCAGTCTAGGTGACTCGACACTGCGGGCACTATGTATTGAGATTTAGATGGTGGTTGGAGGTAGTCAACAGGAAACCCTGAACGCAGGTTTCGTGCTACTTGGCACTCGTCAGCAAGGTGTACCTGTAATCTTGAGGGAACTGATGCTCCCTGGTGGATTCGATCCCGTGTCACCCAGCTTCACAGTCAGAGACGTTACCACTGAGCTATCCGAGCCGTGACTAACCTCCTGTAGGACTGAGATGTAATTACAATTGATTGATCACTGGGTGGTGATCAATGTCTTGCTTGTCTAGTCCTTATTAGTGCAGATCGAATGCTATCGATCATGTTGCAATGTGGCCACCAGTCTAGGTGACTCGACACTGCGTGCACTATGTATTGAGATTTAGATGGTGGTTGGTGGTAGTCAACAGGAAACTCTGGAATTTTAGATAAAGATTAACATTTATATTCGCTTCTCCAAGCTCTAAGCCATACTTTGAATACTCATTGAGTAGGTTTAATGTAAATTTCTTGCTCATAATATTTCAGTATAATAAATGTATAAATAGGAAATTTCTTTTATTTTGTTATTTATTCTTACATTATCTTATATCATCAGTTGTTATCTAGAAAACTGTCAAACATTTGTATCTATCATTTCGTAGAATGTAAGTTTCATTGAATTGATTATTTCATATACATAGTTCCCTTTATCATTTTGAAAACACCAAGAACTAAGATTCTAGTAGAATAATGTGAATCCACTTTTTATTTCGTCTGGTTCTCGTCAACTGCTTACAACCTGTGATATTCAAAATCATAATTAAATAATCGGTTAAAATTACTTACATGAAAGGGTTTGGTTGGAAATTATATTGAAGACATATTAGGATAGTATAGCAAGGGTATAAATAAATTGAATACATTGAATATTGTAAATATATATCTTATGTGAAAGAACGTTCAGCGAGGTTATAACTTATGGACGAGTCAATCAGAAGCGTATCAGAGATTTCAAGGTCACGGTGCCAATTTCACTATTTGGTACTCAAGTACCATCGGTCCACAGAGAATTTTAGAGAAAACGTGATAAGTAAGCAGCTACAACAAATGGGACTACTAAAAAGTTCCTTTATTTGTGATTATGGTAATCAAATGACTCGTGAACCTTTTTCGATGCAATATGTGTTGGAGGAAGAAGTCTGCTAGAATAGGATCCAGATTTGGACTAAGGCAAATCATGACAGTTGTTGCGAACTGAATAATAAAAGCACCAGTAACACTAGCTGCTACCGGTTACTACAGTATATACGGTTGATTGGAAAGCATACATATGGCTACATAGACTTTTTCATATACATCGTGTCGTTATCGACGTTCAAAAGATTGACTAGGATAAATTCTCGAATCAAGTAAATGCTTTAGTATCATCAGGCCAAGTTAAAATACATAGGCATAGTTATTGATTTAACGTTCAGTATGTAACAAATCATAAGAACACTTTCCATTCTAGTCCTGGAGTGAAAATCCAACTGACGAGTCCTCAATAGAACAAAACGCGCGTCAAACTAGATTCCACTAATAGCCATTATCCATCTTTGCTTAAAACGTTTGTGACCTAAGTCTATATAGAGGCAATCCACACAGGATACACATATGTCAACAATAGATTGATCAATTACAGTTCTTAATAACAATTGGACTACATAAATAAAACAACACCAAGTGATTTCTCCTTGTTTGTCAAAATATGACAAATGTGTCTGAATACAAATAGAAATAGTGTAATTATTATCATTATTATTGTTATTGTTACCCGGGTTTATTTTGGTCAATGTTAATCATAATAATCATTGAAAAATAGTCTAAGATTAAGTTTAGTATGTTTGTTTATCTTCTATCAGATATCAGGTAATATTTCACATATTTAACTGCAATACAGTTACTTTTTATTGTTATTGATGATGCCATTTATAAAGTAGACTTTTCATTGTTCATCGACAAGAAACAGTTTTCTTTTTACCTTTAAGATAATTTATTACTAATTCATTTATTCAGTACAAGTTTATGTATGCAGTTTTAAAACTCAATGTTTGTATGAGGTACAGTGATGTTACACTGCTACTTAAACCTAATTGGAAGGACTCGAACTTGAAAATTTATATCGATAACATTCAGACTTTTATGAAAGTATTCATCATGTGATCCAATTTATTCTGTACATAAGGTAAAAAGCAAAGAAGGCTGTTGAGTATCTACTTAGTAATTAACGCTTTAAATTTTGACCAAGCCCAAAAACAAACGTTTCACTTAATAATAGACTTATATTAAACGTCAGAAATACAATTTAGATTGGTTGACTTTAGACATTAACATCGCTGGATGCCGGATCAGTGGTTTACAGGTTGAGCGTTCGTGCGCGAAACCAAAAGTCCTAAGTCCGGGTCCTGAGTGGAGGGTCGTGAGTGCGCACTGTTGAGGAGTGCCATACTAGGACGAAACCTCCGTCCAGTTCTCTCTGACTTTCATTGCTGGTCTAGCTGATATCAACTCATGAATTCAACTATCAGGATTTTCTACTGATTGGGATATCATAAAAGTATATTAATTATTAACTTTCTTACCATTGAAACATATAAACGCTTCACTTGATATAATCTCATACAGTTATTTTGTAAATATGTTCTTGAAATATTACCCTCCACTTAAAATTATAAAATGAAAATAGACCGTTTAAGCAAATTGAAATAAAGCTTCTAGAAGTATATGTACTATACTATTCTCATGTATCTACTATAGACAATAAAAAGTATAGTCATGACACTCCTAATATCACATATCTGGCAGAAACTAATGCAGCATAGAAAACCAGAATCATAAATGTAAAAAAATCTATTTGAAATTTAGTTATGCTCCAGTGGACACTACTCACAAGGATGTTTATAAGTAGTGTGTAGCGGAATGTGATGTCGAAGTTACAACAGTGTCCGTGCATCGAAAGTATGACATTAGCAGAACACTTGGAGGTCAGTCGAGAAGGCAGTTCAGATATCAGAACACACCAGAAGATTCAAATGAATGATTAAAGACTATGTATATGTAATATATAAATATTCTGTAATCTCTCGTAATAAATCTACACACCTCCTCTATATTGTCTTAGGTTACAACCCTATTCTTATTAATCCTCAAGCTATTGAATTGCGAGACGTTTATTTATCAGCTGAATGATGGTTTAAAGACAATTCGAAGTTTATCGTATGTGTCATTTACTAAAAATAGTATGAACCCTTCTACATAAATAATTTATTTGCATGTAAATGATATTGATCAACATTTAACATGACCTAATTAACCATGAATACAAAAGATTAATTGTCAACTTCTTTGTCCTACTTTTGCCTATGTATCCAACCTACATCTTCTCAATTGTCCTGAAACTTCTCGATTTATGTGGAAACCCTGATAGCCTTCAACCTTCTCTTATAATTCTGTTATGTATACTTTTATACTTCATTTAATCTACAAGATGACTCAATCATAATTCATTATTATCAATCAGCATTGTTTGTTAATTGTATAGTGATGAATACAGTATAGTTTAAGCTTTATTAAACAAAACTTCATTATTTTCTTTTCTCAGTTTGTCAAGTATTTATCAAATCTGGTCAAAATGATCCACAAACAGGTGAAATCTATTCATCTATTTGTACAGCAAATCCAACTATTACAATCTGTAATAGATATCAATCAACTCAACCTATACTACTTAGATCAGCATATATATGTACATTGAGTTTAAATGATGGAAATGTACAAGTTATACAAGGCAATGAATTAAACGAATCTAACACAACAAATATTACACAATTGGGACCATTTTATCCAGGGAGTATTGATTATTTTGAAGTGAGTTTACCCTTTAGTAGATTTAAAGTACCGAGTAAATAATATGACTGAGAATTTGTAATTGTATTGTCTTCCTAGTATTATTATTATTCAAAATAATCATGATGATATAAAAGTACGGTGTTTATCACTTATACCTATAAAGTATGTCACAATCCCTATCTAATGATCCGTTGGATACTTTTAATTATTGACTAATGTATTAGCTACCATATACATTGTAATGGAAAACAGTTGTAAGGACTGTGTTTATTTGCTTTGATATGAATGCGTTTCGTCTTTAAAAGAATGGTGTCAATAAAAAATCATTATGGCTAACATTTTTAAGGAAAATTATTAATTTTATGCTGGAAAAAATGCTGTGAAATTTATTCGTTCTATGACTTTCATTGATTTGAAAACATTAAATGAATCGTGGATTGGTTATAGTTAGACTTTAACACCACTGGATGCAAGATAAGTAGTCTACAGGTTAAGCGTTCGCGCGCGAAACCAAAGGTTATGGGCCAAAGTCCCACATTCAGGATGGTGGATGTACATTACTGAGGAGTCCCATACTAAGACGAACCGGCCAACCAGTGCTTCCATGATTTTAATGATTGTCTAGTTTCAATCAACTCATGATTTCAATTATTAAAGAGTCTGCAAAATATCAGTTATCAAGGTTAGTTTTGATAATTTTAAATAAATTGAACATTAACTAGAGATGAATTCTTGAGTCAGTTGAAGCTGAACCACCATGGAAAGCCTGGAAACAATGGATGGCTGTTTCGTCCCGGCATAGAACTTTTCAGCAGTGTACACCCACCATCCTGCATGTAGAACTCTAACCCAGAACCTTTAGTTTCGCGCGCGAACGCCTAACCTGTAGACTACTTAACCTGCATCCAATGGTGTTAATGTTTAACTTCAACCAATTCATGAAATTGCGCCAAAGTCCTTGATTTAATCAGTTGTCATCATTTACATTTTTAAATCATTGTTAGTCATGATCTTAATCCAGGAGTTCCATCTGTAATCGGCTATTGAATGAGCACTAATAAGGAGTGTTACACTGAGGGAAAAAACGGCTGTCTATTGAACCTTGGTTCTTGATAGTTATCTAAGCTTAGTTCGTAATATAGAACCATAAAGTGTTAATTATGCTTATTCTTCGGACGATTGTTCTGTTTATATCTATATCGTTTTGGCACAGAAACTGATTCACTTTATTCACGAATCATTTTCTCCTTCTAAATCTATCTACATTAGTAATTCAGGTTTGTTGGATAACTTTCATTCGACCACATTATTCACATTTATTCAAGTGATCCACTGCAATTAGCATTATTCGTACAGTAGTTTATCGATTAAAATAATGCTTGATGCTTCTGTTATTTTGTAGATATATCTCTTCACTGACTAACTTTAGCTGAAACACAGTGAAGTGACGCTCCAAATATGTGTGATTCTCAGTCATTTTCTTGTTAGCATCAGTTTACGATTCAAAATTCTTACACAAAAACTGAAATTCTGCTTAATTTTGTTTTTCATCTTTTTAGATACCCTTAAATGATATTATGGAAATCAGTAAAATACGTATAAGTCATGATGGTTACGGTACATATCCCGAATGGTTACCAGAAGAAATATATCTAAGATTAACACAAAATCTCCCTAGTATGACCATGAATTCATTCAAATTCAGCACACGAAATTCTTCCTGTTTAACCAGACTATTAAATACTGAAGAAGAGAGTAATTTATTGCCAGGATCTATGCCAACATATGAAATTTCTTTTCCATGTATGAAATGGTTATCACGCTTTAAAAGTGATGGCAGTTTAGTGCGTGAAATCGCTGCACCTGGAACTCAACTACCTGATCAAGCACCAAGACTTGGACGAATATTAAAAGTATACCCATTGGATATTACAACATTATTTCAACAAGAGGAAAGAGCTCCTGGTAAGTTGGATTGTAAGACTAAAATGGTGGGTGATATCACCGATTGTACATTAATATATTGGTATCTTTGTCCTGAATGTTTACGGTTAGTAAACAAAAGGAACTGTGGAATAAATTAATATTCTACCTAGATTAAGTGAATAATACATATTATTTTGGACTTTACGTTATACTACCTTTTTACCAATAAGTAGATAGTTCTGTGTTCTTAATTACATCTCAATTACCGTCCTAACGAACGTCTTTTTCTCTTTATATGTCGACATATTAATTCTGGCTTCCTTGAGTTTATAGTATTGCTTATCTATCTAGCCTTATCCCATATTTTAAATGCACTGCCTAATGACCGATAAGCTTATTCTTGAATTCATGTGTATTTTATTTTGAATTAACATGGGAAATATAATAATTGATATACTATTTACTGTTGTTCTCTCTGTATATTCAATCTCGATTCGATTATGCTTAAGACAGTGTAATCAAAATTTATTCCCATGAAAGCAAAACATAACAAGGATGGAGACTGTGTAGGTGGTAGTGAATTGAAAGAATGTTTCACTAATGTAAAAAAAAAAATAGACATATGCCCACAGATTTTCCCAGACGCATAAGGTTGTATAGATAAACCTGGTAGCTGTTCATAATTTTTTTTTCACTTACCATGATCGGCTAACTTCTAAACCATAAATCAATAAAATATGTTGCTTCAAACCTTAAAAAAAGTACGATACTCTTTAATTATAGTGAGCTACATGTTAATTAGAAGTAAGCATAATGTTACTTTCAAGTGGATTTCATTCACAATCTACGCTTTTAATTAAAGTATATACATTTCAAAATTCTAATGAATATTCTCTATTAATTATACTATAATCAATGATTATTATTTTGTCATAAATCAGCTGTAATTCAAGCGATTAATCTATATTGTAGTCATCATTGTTCTTATTCATAAATGTTAAAGCTTAACAGATTGAAATCATGAGTCAATTGAACATAGACCACCATGTAAAACCTGGAAGCACTGGACGACCGTTTCGTCCTAGTATGAGACTCCTCAGCAGTGTGCATCCACGATCCTGCACCCTGCGAGATTCGAACCCTAGGATGAAACGTTCGTCCAGTGCTTCCAGGTTTTTCATGGTGGTCTATGTTCAATTAACTCATGATTTCCATCTGTGAAATTTCTAAGATCTCCACAAACACCTTCTGACAATGCAAAAGCATTGAAAATGTTTTATTTCTTCAAAGTTAATTAGTTTAGAATTTTAGATCTTCAAGACATAGGGGTTTTGTGGAGATTGTAGTAATTTTTTCAATAGTTGAATTCATGAGTCAATTAAAGCTAGACTACTATGGAAAACATGTAAACACTGAATGACTGTTTCATTCTAGTATAATACTCCTCAGTAATGCACATTCATGATCCCACCCGCGGGATTCGAACCTAGGACCCTAGATCTCGCACGCGAACGTTAAACCTGTAAAACACTGATCTAGTATTCGATAGTGTTAATGTTTAACTGCAATTAATTCACGAAATTATTACACCGTTTATGATTGTCTTTAGTGAATTATTATATCACAGTAGTGTTCTCACGTTAATTAACTCATGAATTCAATTATTTTATTTAGTTTAAACAAAACTAATTATCATTATTAATCCTGTTAATCATACTTCATTGTTTTCTTATTAGTAATTCAATATCAAGTAATAACAAAAACTGGTAAACTATGGAATTCAGGAATGAATAATACAACAAAAGTAAATATATTAATACAAGGTGATCGTGGTGATACAGGTACAAGAATTTTATGGAATGACGAAATATCTAAAATGAATGCATTTTCAAGAGGGAAAGTATGTAATTAATATAATAAATATTAATATGTGTATTATATAAAACAGTCTATTTTTAAGAAACTTTATATTAAGTATTATATATGTACTTTATTGAATAATTGGATAACAGTAATTCATGAACATCATCCAATTGAAAAACAACTATTTGTCAATCAAGATCAAAGTCATAATCTTTTATACGAACGTTAAAACAATTCTACTCCATGGAGCTGGAACTTGGAGAATCAACATAATTATCATCAAGAAGGTACAAGTATTGATAAACAACTGTCTAAGCAACACATTCTATGTCTTTTTACCGGATACCATCAGCAACAGCCTACTATGGGAAAGAACAAATCAATTTCCAGCTAAAGAGGAAATTAAGAAGAGATGTTGAAAGTGGATAGGATGTATATTGAGGAGATTATCAAATTGCATCACGAGGTAAGCTCTATCCTGGAATCTTGAAGGAAAACGAAAGATAACGAGGCTAAATGATAATACACTGCGTCGAGTATTAGAAGCACACATGGGTAGGATGAATAGAAACTGGAAAGAACTGAAAAGGATTGCCCAGAACAGATTTGAATGAAGAATGCTGGTGAGCAGCCTATGCTCCTTTATGAGGGGTAACGAGAGTAAGTAAGTAAGCACGTTCTACAGTTATAAATCCACATGAATGGCCGAAATAAGAAGCCAAATTAAAAGCGAGTATGTTTTCCAGTAACATAGAATATCAATTTAGGAATATCGGTAAAATAAGTTTGTTAACTGGCGTTTTTAAATGTTTAGATGAAGAGTGTGTACTTGAATCAGTTCTTGGATTAATTGAAATCGGAAGAAGAAGAGATACAGTTCACAGAATTATCCAAGAAATTAATGTAGTTAAAGAATTTTTCAGATCGAAGATTACGCAATTCAGGAAGTGATATGAATTAAACAAGAATTGTCAAAAAATAAAGTGGGCTCTAATTTACTTGCTCAAATGTATTAGAGAAATTTAATTTATGGAGAAGCATTTATTTATTTATTTGAACACATAAACATTGTTACAGCGGGATACCGAATACACATGTGCCACACAATAACAATGAGGCCAGTGTCAGTTATCACTCGATTTGTGTGAGAGCTATGATACTGCCTGGGTGCCTAAACTGAAGAAGGAGATTTTCTTAGAAGGCCACACCGCTAGCCATTGAACTGAAGGTCTTATCCTCAAGACAATGGGGCAACGTAACGAGATGAAATCCCATGGTAGCCAATCATAGACATTAGGTTCATAAACCTTTTGTTCCCAGGAATCCATGTGCACCATTGGTTTGGAATTAGGGCTTTCCAATGCTTTTTAGTTGGATCTTCCATAACAGAAGGTATGTATTCATATTAGCCCTACAACTCCACGTCTTTTCTAGTTGTAAAGGGTATTACTGCTATCACTTAAAAGACTCTCAGTTAGGTAGCATAAGCTGACTATTATTAATACTCTGGAACATTCGAAATGACTAACTCATTATAGCTTTATAACCCTTTTCGGCATATGATTTAAGATTAAGAACAATGAAAACTCCACAATCAGACTATTCAATTCAGAGAACAAAAGTCTATTTAAAATATCGGCGAGACTTTAATTTATCGACGAAACCAATCACGTATAAGATAACAGGTTTGATATTTTGGCACGAAATTCACTCATCCATTTGATTAAATAGAATTTTGGCATTATAGATGATATCAGTTCGTGATGAAAACCCTAAATCTAATTCGTAACCTTAACCATCAACTGTAAATCATAATCCTTATTCTTCAAACTGTTTTATAATCCTCATTTGTTCCTAGTTATTAGGTGGACACTCTCAAGGTCACTATAGCGTCTCCCAAAGGTCGTACATAAATTATGTATGCTCTCACCAAAATATCTTTTATTCTACATTTTAAAAAAAATCAATTTCAGAATTTCTTTATCTTTATTTTAGACTACTTCATTTAATGTTGAAGCTGTATTTCTTGGTCGATTAAAATCACTTACTATATGGTTAGAATCAGACAATAATGGAAATGAGCAGAATACTACAACTACTACTACTAATACTACTCATAACAATAATAATAATAATTGGTATTTAGAATATGTGATCATTCAACAACTATCAGTGAATTCTTCTATGAATATATTCAATACATTATCTTCATCTTCCACACCTACATCTCAATCATTTCCTTATACAAATGATCATTTTCTAACATGTACAAATAATAAACTGAATAATATTTATAATGATATAAGTGCAATTTATATATTTCCTTGTTTTCAATGGTTAACAACAAAATTTGGTATGAATTCTTTACCAATTAAATTAATTCCAATTAATAGTAATGGTACATTTACAATTAATTTAATTGAAACAATTATGGCATATCAAAAAGAACAAACATTTGTAAGACTATATATATCATATTGTTGTTGTTGTTGTTGTTGTTGTTGTTGTTTTGTTTTCTAATGCAAATCCACATTGATAGTCGTCTGTATTATTTGAACAAATATTAAATGGTTGAATTCATAAGTCCATTGAATTTAGAACACTATTGAAAACCTGGGAGAATCGGATGACCGTTTCGTCCTATTGAGAGACTCCTTCACAGATCGTGGATCGGTTGAGTGTTCCCGTGCAAGATCGATGCGTCTTGGGTTGAAACCTCGCGAGTCAGGATCGTGGGTCCGCATTACTGAGAAGTCCCACAGTAGGACGAAGCAGCCATTCATTCTAAAAAATCTCCACAAAACCCTCTTCTGATAATAATCATCTGCTCAATAGTGACTGAATTCAAGAGGTATTTCCTGGAGTTCTAGTGAGAAATCGTTACCAGTGGAGTTCAACCAGGTCTGTTGTGAAATATCAACTCACTGAAGACAATGGTATACGGTGGTGCAATTTCGTGGATTGACTGAAGTTTGACATTAACACCATTGGATGACGGCCGGTCCAGTTGTCTAGTAGCTAAGCGCTCGGGTGCGGGGGAGTGGGGAATCGTGGATGCACACTGCTGAGAAGTCCCATACTAGAACGAAACGGCCGTCCAGTGCTTCCAGGTATTTCATAGTGGTCTAAGTTTAACTGATTCATGATTTCAACTATTGAAGTTATCATTTGACTAAAAATACTTTTGTACAACTATGATTTCTTAAATACATGAAGTTTTACGATGAATCAATAGAACATAATTCTAATATGAAGAAACTGAAATATTACCAAACAAATCATTCATCATTAGTCTAGACGATTCTCTGAAAGGTTGATATTGTTTTGACATTTGTAATCTTTCCATAATTTATGTAAATATTTACATTGAATAGAAAATGATAAACAATATTTCTTATAATAATAGATGAAATATAAAAGCTTATTAGTGTTATTAAGAAAACATTCTTGACATACATTGAATAGTATCTGGAAGAATGCAAACATCATTAAGTATTTAGTTAGGTCGGTGAATATTCAGTATTTGTTTGGACGTCACTCTTTTCATGAACATAAATTGATAGTTAAACAATAAAGAATTATTAAGCAATGAATAACTATTTTAATGAACTGAATGGTTTCAGAACTCTTAATGAAGAATAGATTATTCAACGTCTGAATTAATATTGATTAGTTAAAGTTTTCAAACTTTTCCAAAACAAATCTTCATCATTTTTTACTAATGGAAAGTTTACTCTATTGATTATGACTTTCTATCATAACTCTAGGAAACCAATCTCTAAGGTAGTCATTAATGGATATTTTATGTAATAAATGAAAAAAATTACCTCACTAAAAAGTACTTTATGATATTATCAGAATGGGTTTTGTGGAGATTTTAGAAATTTCAGTGTTTGAAATCATGAGTCAGTTGAAGCTAAACCACCATGGAAAACCTGGAAGCATTGGAAGGCCGTTTCATCCTAGTATGGGACTCCTCAGCAGCACGCATCCACGATACCGCACCACGCAGGGCTCGAACCCAGGACCTACTGGCTTCGCGCGTGAGCACTTAACCACTAGACCACTGAGCCGGCATCCAACGGTGTTAATGTCTAACTTCAACCAATCCACGAAGTTGCGCTACCGTACACCATTGTCTTCAGTGAGTTCCTAACTCACTTTACGATATGTCATCTTATTGAACAAACAGTTAAAAATAGTTTTATAGATGAATTCATGAATCAGTTGAAACTAGACCATCATGAAAAATCTGGAAACACTGGATGACTATTTTATTCTAGTATGGGACTTCTCAGCATTGTATCTCTTTGTGATAAACTATGAGTCTAAAATTCAAAACAAACATATTTAATTGAAATATTGTGCCGAAATAAAACACATTCGTTGTCTGGAACTTGAAAGTCCTGAATTCACCTGTTTTTGATGAAGTTGTGTTCTCTGAGTTGAATGGTTTGGTCATGAAGCTTTTATCGTTCAGAAGAACGATACCATCAGCACAAACTTTAGATATGAAGTGAATCATTCGAATTTCTTCACAGGCCAGGTAGATATGCATAACAAAGTATGTGAACTCGTGCACAATGATGTAAATTCATTTCGTAATGAAATAAAGAACTATATAACTGAACTGATGTATACAAAATTGATCAAAAAACAACTAACTATAAATGAAAACAGCCAGTGAGTTGTGAAAATAGCAGTTAGGTTCGGTGGAAAGACCTATTTTGAATAATTTATGCCTTACATTATGAATCTCATAATCTGTGCATAATGAAATATCTAGGTGATGTGCTCACGATACACACATTCTAACAAAGACTAAATAAAACTCAGTCTTAGATATTAACAATAGGATAACTCTAACTCTTATTAGTAATATAATAGACTAGTAACCATTTATCACCGTTTTAACAAGACATTCTTCATATGGCATAAAAGGCTTTCAGTTTGTACATTTTCCCAAAATTATTCTCTACTTCATAAATCATCTGCTTTAAACAATCAAACACACTTTTAAGTTAATGCCCACAATAGGACGAAATGGCTATCCAATACCTCTAGGTTTTCAAAGATGGTTTAGTTTCAATTGACTCATGATCTCAACTATTGTAATTCTTTTAATATTAACTGTGATGTGTTCTCTCTATTGTTTTTTTACACAGTGGCAAGTTGAAAAATGGAAGTTTAAACCAGGCACAAAAATTATTTTCTACAGTTATTTAACTGGTGCACCTATGCGTATAATCGATTCTAACCGTATTGATTGTCAACCGATTGATTCAGTTAACGGAGTATCGAATCAAAGAAATGGAGAAGGTCAAAGTTATTCTTTAAATGTTTTTCTTTATACTAATGATTTGAGGAATTTGACCCGTTGATAAGCAATAGCTAACAAAATATTAAGTTCAACGAGTACAACGGGTTCAATTGTATAATTTGATATTCATATTTTTTTATATAAAAGACAAAACGCTCGCATAAGTTCATTATAGCACCTCTAGAGACAAAGAACGATTTGACTCAAAAGAAGTACTTAAAACCTGTCACTCAGTAGACATGTACAATACCTGACTAACAATCTTACTTTTAAATTCTACTATAATTCTCTTATTATTAGCAACCACAAGGTATAATTCGTTCCCCACACAATAAACCTAAATTGTGGATACCATAAAGAAATTTGAAAATAATCGTTTAACATGAGTTGAATGCTACTTAGTTTTTCAAGAGACCAAAGCTAAATAAATTCTAACGTAGTCGTAACAGTGTGGTGTGGGTTACTTATATTCATATAAGTAGTATATAACGGTGGTCAGGCATAAATGTATTTCAGCAGAAGATCGATAAGAAAAGAACGGAAACGGAACACATTTGATATGAAAATGCATGGACAATGAAATCTGAGACAATGGACTGATACTTGCGAAAGGAACAGTGAAGTTTGAGACAATGGATTGCAAATTAACTATTTACTATATAATTCTCAGATTTCAGTGACATGCTCTGTAGTTGTGTACTCAAATCCAGTTGATTGTCAATACTCATGTTCTTGTTCACCACAGTGGTAGTAGTAGTGGTAGTAATAGTAGTAGTAGTAGTACCTAACATACCGGAAACTAAATAAAACTATTCAGGACAACAATGGGATCCAGTGACAGCACTTAATCAATTAATAAAACTGAAATAAGAAATCAAATGTAAAGAAACCTTTTTATTAACAAACCTTTACTAGGATATAATTATTTGTATCTTGATTCAGTTATTCAGAAAAAATGGGTAGCTAACTTGAACTACGAATGGATAAAAGGTTTATTGTTTAATAAAGTCCAAACAAACCCACCATTAAAAATTGAAACGGCTTTAACCCTGATCCCTTTATATTTTCTGGAGTTCTAGTGAGAAACCGCAACCAGTGGAGTTCAATCCGTGTCAGGTGTGAGACATTCATCCACCGAATACAATCGATACAGGGTTGAGCAAGATCATGGATTGATTGAAGTTGGGTGCCGGCTCAATGGTCTATAAATTAAATGTTCGCTTGAGAGACCGAGTGTTTTGGGTTTGAATCTCGCATGTGGGATCGTGTATTAAAACTGTTGAGTAGTCTCATACTAAAAGAAAACGGCCGTCCAGTGCTTCTAAGTTTTCAATAGTTGTCTAGCTTAGATAGACTCATGAATTTAGCTGTTAAAATTTACATGAGTAAAAATGAGTGGTGAAAAACAGAAATCACTTTGAGCCAAACCATTTTTCTACAAAATGTTATTTACTACTTTTCTTTTTCTTCCAAACACCCAACAGCCTGAATGCAAAATAATCTACAGCGTAGAATTGAAAATATTTAGTAATATTTATTTATCTACTTATAAGTAACTTAAATTTTGAGTGACAATTTTGGTTCTACACTTGTTCACACACCCCAGTTGTACTTTTAGGTAGCTTAGTTCGAAAACTTACTGATTTTCACTATTTAGTATACACCTATGAAGTATTATCTATCAAGAAGAGAATGATTTAAGAAATTTTGTTAAAGAAATATCTATCCAAACATTTGGGTTAACTATTTTACAACTGAGTCAATATTATAATAGGTCTTCCAGATTTAGATTATTTGTTAAGAATCCCGAGCCCAAGTACTGAAGCTCCAACAAAACGTTTTGTGATCATAAACAATGGAAAACTTAAAAGTAACATAGCAGTTGTTGATCAATATTACTCTGTAAATGTACTTTGACAAAACGAAAGATGATCACGTGAGAAGTCATGTATTCAATAATATGATGGATAAAGGAAATATTTGTGATAACTGAATGGGAATAGACGTTTTTGTGATCGACGTGAGAGATACTAAGTATGTCTATTGGATAGTCATAAATCGGAAACATTTAGTGCAATATTTAACATTTAGTGTTCAAATGACTTTATAGTAACAAAATTTGTAGTATTGAATAAACTAATGACTATTATTATTGAATAGAATATATCTACTACATATATCATGTATCTATTTGCCGTTATTTTAAAAGTTTTATTGTCATTCTTGGATAGGTCTTCATGACAATGAGGACCTGAACTTTTCTTCCTCAAGATCCAATTCAAAGAAAACGTTGCATAGAAAACTATGAATACACTAAACCTATATGTCTAGTTGAAATGTTTGAAGAAGTTATCGGTTTAATAGCATTTGAGTCTAGTAGCTTACCATGTTTGACGAATTTTACTAGTATCTATTATAAACAGGTTTCAGTCGCCTTTTATGTATAGAGTTACGTATTAATCATCATCATCATCATCAAAATCACATTTATTTTAGGTTACATTAGCCATCATTTTTTAAGGTTACAAACTGGATAATCTTTCTTCAAAAGATTAAAATAGTGAATAGTGATATCATACTCTAATCTGATCATTATTTTACACTTTTTTTTCTGTTCAAGCTATCATTAGATCATTATGTACATACCGCTTAACTAGAGATTTCTATAAGTATGCATGATGATAAACTATATGACATGAATGATTATAGGAAGTATAGTTTGAAAATATCATTCCACATTATCACACTTATGACTGGTTGGCTTAGTAGACTTGATGATCCACTAAGACTTCAATGCAATTCTTGATTTACTATGTAATTTACATAACAAGGTGATCGCATTTGACTACTTGCAAGAATCTAAAACATTACCTCCTATGATAACTCTTAATAATTCTTTGGCTTCATAAACTGAAATTAGGTAAAACAGATAATCGTATTAAGATCATCTCATTCTTACATCGTGATGGTTCTTTATTAATCAAAACAAACTTACTGAAAATCACTATAACTCTTGAATCATACTTACTTACTTACTTACTTACTTACTTACTTACTTACTTACTTACTTACTTACTTACTTACTTACGCCTGTTACTCCCAGTGGAGCATAGGTTGCCGACTAGCATTCTCCAACCCACTCTATCCTGAGTCTTCCTTTGTAGTTCTATTCAATTGTTGTTCATTCTTCACATGTCTGTCTCCATTTCTTGGTGTAATGTGTTCTTTGGTCTCCCTCTCCTCCTTTGGCCTTCAGCATTCCATGTGAGCGCTTGCCTTGTGACGCAGTTGGATACTTCCCTCAATATGTGTCCTATTCACTTCCAGCGCCTCTTTCTGATTTCTTCGTCAGCTGGGATCTGGTTTGTTGTCTCCCATAGTAGGTTGTTGCTGATAGTGTCTGCCAAACGGATCGGAAGTATTTGACGTTGAGAGCTGTTAATAAACACTTGTATCTTCTGGACGACGGCTTTCGTAGTTCTCCAGGTTTCCGCCCCATGCAGAAGAACTGTCTTGACATTTGTATTGGAAATTCTGACTCTGGTGTTGGTTGATAGACAGTTGTTTTGAGTGCCAGATGTTTTTCAATTGTAGATATGCTGGTCTTGTTTTGTCAGTCGGCGCCTTCACATCTGCATCAAATCCACCTTGTTCATCAATGATACTACCCAGATATGTCAATATTTTTACGTCTTCCAAATCTTCCCCGTCAAGTGTGATTCGATTGTTGCGTGTTGTGTTGTATCGGAGAATCTTTCTTTTCCCTTTATGTATGTTGAAACCTACTACTGTTGAACTTGCTGCTACACTGGTCGTCTTCTCCTGCATTTGTTGTTGCGTGTGTAATAGAAGAGCTAGATCATTTGCAAAGTCTCGATAGTCCAGCTGCATCCTAGCTATCCACTGTATTCCACTGTAACCCATGAATCATAGTTTAATATTTCCTAGTAATCTGACTAGATGATCAATGAGTGAGTAATCTTCAAAAGTAAACATATATAATTGTGAACTTCTATAAAATGTGCAACTATAAACTCCTAGAATCCCATTTCTTTTCTTACTTATTAATAAACAATAATGTTATGATCACATAGTAACTCACATATTTAATGACATCAAATCTATTTCATTATAATTAATGATATTCTTATCAGAATGGGTTTTGTGGAGATTTTTAGAGATTTCACTGATTGAAATTATGAGTCAATTGAAGCTAGACAACCATGGGAAACCTAAGGGCATTGGATGGCCGTTTCGTCCTAGTACGGGACTACTCAGTAGTGCACATCCACGATCCCTCATCCCTCGGGGTTCGAACCCTGGGCCTATCACTTTCGCGCCACTCACTTAACCGTTAGACCACTCAGCCGGCATCCAACAATGTTAACGTCTAACTTCAACCAATCCACGAAATTGCGCCACCGTACACTATTGTCTTCAGTGATTTACTATCTCACAACAGACTTGGTTGAACTCCACTGGTAACGACTTCTCACCAGTGGTATAGTTGGTTAAGTGCCTGGCGCGAGACTGATAGATCCCGGGCTCGAGTCCCGCGGGGTGCGAGATCGTGGATGCTCACTGCTAAGGAGTCCCATACTAGGACGAAACAGCAATCCAGTGCTTCCAAATTTTACATGATGGTCTAGCTTCAATTGACTCATGCTTTCAACAAGTGTAATGATATTCTTTCTTTATATAATTATTTTATTTTATTTTCAATAATAGTTTTTAATGTCTCTTATGGATTAACTAATTCGAAACGTTCAAAATTATCACGATCATCTTTACATCAACAATTTGGTTCAAGAGATTTATTAAATAATTATAAACAATCTATATTGAATCAAAATATAGAATACTGTAATAATTTAAATGATCATTTGAAGTCAACTAATAAAATGAACAATCGTAATAAGAATACAAAATGTATTCGTTCATTTTCAAGTGTACAAAATCCATGGCTTTCAATGTGTTTAGATGAAATAGCTGGTTTAAATTTGAAAAGTAAGTTGTTGCTGTTGTTGTTTTGTCTATAGAGAATATAAACAATAATCAGTTCTAGGACTATATTATAATCAATAGATGATAAGATTATAATTTATAGACGACCTTTAAGTGACACTATAGTGACCTTGAGAGTGTCCACCTAATAACTAGGACTAAATGAGGGTTATAAACCGGTCTGAAGAAATAGAATTATGATTTGAAGTTGATAGTTAGAGTTAAGAATTAAATTTAGGGTTTTCATCACGAACTGATATCAGTTATAATTCCAAAACTCTAATTATCCAAATGGATGGGTAAATTTCGAGCTAAAATCCTCGACCTGTTATCTTATACGTGATTGGTTCCGTTCATAAATTATAGTCTCACCTCAGTAAATTAATTTTTTTTTTTAAAAGAAGCATTGATTTACTACCTTGTTTAAGTTTACGATTTGTTAATACATCAACCTCTTTCTTCTATATCACATAATTAGAATGAATTGATCCAAGTTTTGTTGATAAGATATAACTTAACATGTCATGACCCTGGAGTTAATTTGTCATCGACTTAATCAAATGGAAGATATCTCATAGTCTGGATTTTATAATGACTACTTTCACTACAGTTCAAATGAACATTAAACATAGTTTTGGTTATAGATCAACTTGTTGTAACATTTAAATTTCTATTAGATTGTGTCTGGTCTTGAAGAAGATAAGTATTTCTATAAGAATTTGAAAAGGAAGATCAAATGAAAATATGAGTAGATAACTCAGTATGAACGAAGAATTCATTTATATTTAAAAATAAAAAACATTTTAGAATCGGTAATGAATAAACTTGATATCAAGATAAACTAGTAATGAAGAAAACAAGTTGACAAAATTAAGTATTCAAATTAGTCTCTATAACGGGTTTACTATCATTCAGAGATATTCATTATTTATTATTCATAACTGTTAATGTTGATAAACGAAGGATTTTATAATCTACAGCTAGTTATTTTTACTTGAAAATGAACTTTATCAATATTTTACTATTCTTACAGTTGAATTCATGAGTCGATCTAAGATACACCACCTTTGAAGACATTCGCTTTTCGTCCTCTCATTTACGTAAACAACAACCGCACCATGAGAAGGCATTGAGTAGGAACCCTGTAATAGTGGTTGTAAACGTGAAGCTATTGAGACCATTTCGAGAGGGGGAGCGAGCTCTCCCCACTCTCAGCTGTATCAAGGCATTTCAGAGGATAGTCTGGATATAAGCGATAAAAAGTATAAAAATTACAATAAACTGTAATCTCAATCTGTGATCAAAATAAATAAGCTCTGTGATATATCACAAATATTCATGTTTCATTGATGCCTGATTCTACAAACAATAAAGATATATTACTGCAATTAAGTCTGTCGTAGAATACAAATTATTCAGTGATATTTCAAGAGACATCAATATGACTAAAACCAAGAAGAATGAGCAATCTTATTCTTGTTTGGAACTATACAGTATTGTACACATTAACTCTATGATGCAGGCATATCCAGCTGACGAGTCCCAAATAAGACGAAACGCGCATCCTGAATTGCACTGCCAGTCTCCATTCATCTCTGCTTATAATGAATAGGGTGAGCAACACCACAATTTTCTCCGCAAAATAACATTTCAATCAATTACATTCAAACAATTAAATTTTCAAATACTTTATTTCATTTTATTAGTTAATTCGGATTTAGATTCACAATTTTTCAACTTTAAAATACGCCCTCAGTCAGAACGTCTCATTGCACTTGAAATAAACAAAAAAAGTTCACTGCAAACTAGGAAGATTCATGTTTACGTTGGACCAGATGGTCGTGTCGTCAGTGGAGCAACAGGTCCTGTAACAGTTCCTGGGAAGTTATTTCTACCGTATGTAAAAGTAAGTGTTAGTTTCTTTTTCATTTTGCCAGTACATCTATTTATACCATTACGACTTATGATATGTTTTGCGTTAATTAATTAATTAATTTGTTTATTTGAACACATAAATAATGGTACAAAGAGGTACCGAATACATATGCGCCTCACGGGTCACTTGATTTGTGTGTAAGCTGTGTTATTGTCCAGTTGCCCAGACCGAAGTAGGTGGTTTTCTTAGAGGGCCACACTCGTAGCCTTTGACATAAAGGTCTGATACACAAGGTAGTAGAGCAACGTCAGGAGATGCGATCCCATGGTAGCCGGTGACTAACAATTGGTTCATACGCTTTTTATTCTGTCACGCTCTTTGAGCCCATATATGTACCATTGGTTTGGAGTCAGGGGTTTTACAACTCCCCTAAGTGGATCTTTCTTATCCACCAACCCGGTTAAAGCGCCGGACATTAATAGGTGTAATGTAATACAGTATGATAAGTTGAAAATTCACCGAATGTGAAGTAGTTTATTAATTCAATAGTAAATTCCAAGTCATCAACTCTGAAATTATTAAGACATCATAAATTATTTCGCATAATTCATGGATAGTTTTTAATTATAAACATAAATCATCTAAAAAAACTCAAATAAAATCAGAAAATCAAACATAATATATAATTATGAAGTACCTTGGAGATTATTCGCTTTGAATTTTCACAACACTGACTAACTTCGGTTAAATAACCACTGAAAATTTGGAAGTCGTTTCATCTTAGAATGTAAATCCTTATAAATACACATCCATGACCCCGTCAAAGGTCAAATACAAAACTTTCAAATATCATGAAGAGTGTAGAACCTCTAGATCACTAGGATGGTTTACAGTTCCCTACATTTCTAACTTTTGTCAATTGACCATTCTCCTCAACTATCATTTACATTTTGTTTCGTTCACAACATGATTGAACTCGATTGATCGCAGCATCTCATTGGAACTTTGGGAACTATGGCTGATATATTTCGATAAAAATAATGGGTGCTTAAAGTAGATATGAAAGAAATGCATATGGGTTTTCACAAGGCTTCTACAATATTATTACTACAAACCATAGTCTGCCTTTAGTTTCTCTTCCATTATTAAAAGAGAATAATTTGACGGGTTTTTAATGTAGTATATGAGAACAAGATCTAATGATAGTAGTAAAATCAAGACCTAATCAACATACACTCATCGCAAATAAATCAATAAACTATCATGCTAATAACACAGAGGTCTTCTTTAGCTTAAAATCTTATGAGACACTTCTTTCAATCCTTAAAAAATAATCAGATATTAATAACAAAGAATGTTATAATTACTAGTCGATTTTTAATGCGAAATATTTCCCATGTGTCCATCATCCGCTAAATGTCAAAATTTCCTAATACCTATGACAATCTCCTTAATCTGAAATCTTCTATTCTTATGAATTCATGAAGTTTTAATAAGTGATTTAAGAAAAAGTGATCCCATCTTTGTAGTACGAAATTCAGAAAGATAGAAAACAAATTCACGATATTCTGTAAAACATTTTTTTCCTGCTCATGTACTTATGATTCGCCAATTGACGCTAGTTACTGAAGAAAATTGACTTTAAATTAGGTAGATCAAAGGAATTGTCAAAAAACCCTTAAACCTAGACTTCGTTACAATCAGCATTTAGCTTAAATCTTAAATCAGAAATTTTGTGGCAATTTCTCCTGATTAACTAATATAATTCCAAGTCATTTAGTCAGTTGGCGATACGCATATATATATATATGCTTTTGATAGGTAAAGAGAAACTTCAGATTGATTGAAGTTAGACGTTAACACCGTTGGATGCCGCCTCATTGGTCTAGAGGTTAAGCGTCCGCGCGCGAGACTGATGGGTCCTGGGTACCGATTTCGCGGCACAGGATCGTAGATGCGCGCCGCTGATGAATCCTATACCAGGATGAAACGAACGTTCAGTGCTTCCAGGTTTTCCATGATGGTCTAGCTTCAATTTTACTCATAAATTCAATTATTAAACTTTAGATTAATTTCTTTTGTTAATAACCATCTTATATTTTAATAATATAAATTCCTTATTCTTTCTAAATGAAAAAAACTATAGGGTTGTCTAAGAGATCAAACAATCTTATGGTTATGTACAGAAATTCAACAAACATTAATACCTATTATAATTCATGAAACTAATCAAAACAATTCAGAAGTTAAAATCAATAGTTGTAAATTTGATTTACGTGCCACAGGTGAACGTACTACTGAAGCATATTGGAGAGTTCATAAAGTAGACAAAAATATTAGACGATTTGAATCAGTTGCATGGCCAGGAAATTTTTTGCGTGTTACATCAAATAATGTAGATGTTATGGTTAGTTATTTTATTAATATACCAATTAATATGATATTTTCATTTTGTGTGAAGTAACATTATATTATATCTAGAGCTTAGATTCTTAATATACCGCGTATAACTTGAGTACTCAAACCCTAGAACCTTCTCAAGTCACAAATGAAAAGACAGAAGACAAATGAAAGGAATGCTATTCCAAATAGTGTCATTTGTGATACAGAACTGTCAGTCATTTATAGTTTTTACTTACTTACTTACTCCTCGTGAAGAAGTATAGGCCGCTCACCAGCATTCTCCATCCTACCCTGTCCTGGACAATCCTTTCCAGCTCTTCCCACTTGTTACTCATCTTTTTCATATCTGATTCTATTTCTCGGCATAGTGTGTTCTTTAGCCTTCCACTTTTCCGCTTCTCTTCAGGATTCCGCCTATAGCTCTTCTAGAGTTACTACCGGTCGCAAGCCCGGGTAAAGGAGGAGGACTGGGCATGGGGTTAGCGACCCCATCCAGTAGAAAACTAACTCACTAAAAAAACGCTAACCAGAAAATATTTATAGTTTTTAATAAAAACGAAATTATCATTATAATCATCCAATCCGCATACAGAGGGTTACTAGCATTTGTCTAATAGAGGAGCTGCACATAAAGATTCTGGAATATTCTTCCAAAAGATGATTGGATGGAATATCTTCGGTTCTTTCTGAGTTTCTTAGAGCTTCCTTGAATTCACCCGCGGACTATCCTCATACCTTATTAACATAATTTAAACCGATTTTCAAATAATAGATTGTAATTCAAACTAGACTAGAGTATTTGTCTTGATTACAAACTTGTTATTGATGCAATATACTAAACAGATGAAGAAATATTAACTAATTTCAAAGTCAGACATATATATTTATAAATTAAATTAAATACTAAACAATATCTATAAAAGATAGTGAAAGCATTGTAATGTCCTAGATGAGGATCTTTTTTACCACATTCTCTATGAGACGCAAACTATCTAAGTTTCATTTCGTGTGAGTATGAAGATTTCCTTGATAAGTTTCATATTAGAACCAAACTGGTTTCGATTCTTTCTAGTTCTAAATCACCTTCCTGTTCATTTCAGTCTATTATTAAATGAAAGTTTTGTATTCTCCGGTTTCTGATATTAGAAACTGAACTGATTAGTAAAATATTCCTATCATGATAAGATAAGAACATCGTTTATACAAATACGTATTTTCAGTAGTTTTTATCAAACTTTATAAAGCAGTACGTTTGTTCATACAGTATGTTGCAAATTTGTATTTATATACATATGGCTTAAAGGATTAACAAAATGGATGAATCATTAGTAAACTATGTGAATAATGTACAAAATGAGATTGATGGTAACGATACTCAAAAAGTGACAGTATATATGAAGTTACTAGTCACGGTTATTGTAAGCTGATGGCAGGTAAAAGTCGTGGAAGGGAAAGAGCCTGAATAAAAGACTTTTGTATACAATAAAGTCGGAAAATTTCATTAGCCATTATGTCAGCTATGTTGAGTACGCCGAAATACTTAAACTATGAGGGCTTCATTTAAACTTTAGATATATTAATGGATGGTAAACACATCTAGATTTTGCATCATACGTCTACTAAATGAGAAGATATTAAGTTTTTTTGTAGGTTTGTTTATTTCTACACTTAGTCATAATGGAAGTTGTTCAAGAAAGCAATAGGAGGTTTGTAACGTCATTCTGACTATCTTGTCATCTCCACAGAAGCACAGTGGTTCAAATGTTCTGTATAAATATTTCCATTTGTATCACATTTACTTGGATTATTTTCTAAACTGATTAGTAAAAGGAAATGACTAAACTCGTATTTATCCCTTAAAATTTTGTATTTTATCTATGAATTGTAATATATTTTCTTTGTTAACTTACTAAGGACAAGTAAAAATGGATTATTTGTTCGTTGTAAGGATTAGAATACGAATAAATCACGTAGATTTACTTAATTATGTACTCCTCGTGGAGGAGTATTGGCCACCTATCAGCATTCTCTATCCAAATCCGTCCTAGGCAACCCTTTTCAGTTGTTTCCAGTTTTTATTCATCCTTTTCATATCTGTTTCCATTTCCCGACGCAGTATCTTCCATGGTCTTTCTCTTTTCCGTTTCCCTTCAGGATTCCAAATTAGGGCATGCCTTGTGATGCAACTTGGTGATTTTCGCAAATCATGTAGAAATTTGGTCGAAATCCTAACAGACTGATATTTGACTCACAATAGAAAGTTAATACACAGAAGAATTTATTAATGTATATCCAAACGTGAATAAATTAGTATGAGCCTTAGAAAGGGATTACTAATAGCTCTAACTATAAATAATAATAGTAAATAATTTTCATTTATTATATAAAATTTCATATAATTTCCTTACTAAACTGATTTATCAGATAAATAGTACTGGGTTCAGGTCCCAGAGTGAACATCAACTTCGGGATGCAGGTACATCCATTTGACGACTTCTAAACAGGATGAAGCGGGAGTCAAACTGGATTCCACTACTAGCCACCATCCATCTTTGCTTATAATGTTTGTGGCCTAAGGCAATATCGAAGCAATTCGTACAGGATGTACATATACCAATAAGATATTGATCAAGTTCAGTCCTAAACATCAATGGGAACATTCAAGTAAAACAATACAAAATGATTATAAATTCCTATTGTTTTTTTAAAAATTAATTTACAGGGTGGCGGTGGAATGGATTGTTACTTTCAAATTAATCGTGTTCGTTGTAAAGGTTTTTTTCAATTATCACCTCTTGTGAATATTAAAAAAATTATTGGAATGAATGAAGATGGAACAATCACTTTATACGACAAAGATACAATGGAAGAAAATTCACGTTTTTATCCAGAAGTTGTCAAATGTACGTAAATGTGTTATTGTTGTGACTTTAAACCTCGGCTAGTTATCAAGTGACTTGTTCACCAATCGAAATATGACTTATTCAATTTTGTATTGTGGTAAACCGATGACGTTCAACCGGTATGAGCAGCCTAGCATCCTTATTGATCCTTTGTCCGCCTAGCCCGTTCAGTTGAGTCCAGAACACCAATACCAGCTTCCACTATGTGAATCATTTATTTCAAACATATATATACTAGCCAAACAGATCACATCACACCATAAAATAGAAAATAACATTTGTATAAGATCAAGCCAAACAGTTGCTGTGAATATGGGAGACTGTAATCAATAAACCGAGTATAATTCAGGAATACTAAATCGTATCATAATATTCTATAGATTAAAATAAAGCTTGTAATAAGAGGAATATAGATATATACAACCTAGTTACTGAATAGTTATACAATAAGTATATATATATATATATAATATTAGCCCATTGATACTCCTCAAAAGGTATCCGTCACTTAATCTTCACTAGGATATAACAATTATTTTGAAGTATATGTCTTAATAAAACAAATAATTAGGCGGTTAAATATTATTATCTTAAATTTGTCCTATAAAACAAAAAATTCAATTACAAGCCTCGTATCTACACTGTCTTTTCTTTATTGAAAATAACCGCTTGAATACATGAGACGAATAGAGTAATTCAAGCCATTTATTTTTTTCTCGTTATAAAGGTGAGTACCAAATATTATATATTATAGATTGTACTTTTGTGTTATATGCTACCGAAGTCGACAGATATAAGTAATATGTATCATCAGTCGAGAGTGGAATACTTGGAGACAGAAGGTTGGAAAAATCGAAGAGAAAAGAACGAAGACAGAAAATGATTGATGTGGAAACGAAGGAACAATCAAGTCTGAGACAATTGATGGATATTTTGAAAATGAATTATTTACTGTATGGTTCTCAGATTTTACTAGGAGATTCGATAATGTTATATACAAATACATTTGGTTATCTCCGTCTGTATTCTTGTTCACAACACTATCACTAAAATCATTCAGTAACTTAAATTTATTGATGATCTAAAAAGTCCCTTTACAATAAATGAAAACTTAGCAAGGGTTAATAATAACAATCTTTAATTGAAAAACAAGGTGATAGGAGATCCTCCATACTAATCTGAATAAAAAGATTCTATTTTGTTCTTTAAACTGATTTTATGTAACTGATGGATTCATCACCAAACAAGATATAACTTTATAAATACATACTATTAACATATAAATCTTTTGATCTTAAATACTTCAGCACATAAACATTGGTACAACGAGTCACCAAATAGATATGCGCCACATAAATCATTCGATTTGTGTGAAGGCTGGGATACTGCTTAGGTGCCCAAACCGAAGCAGGTATTTTTCTTTGCCTTCAACCTAAAGGTCTGATACACAAAGCAGTGGAGCAATGTCAGGAGATGCGATCCAATGGTAGCCGGTGATAAACGATTTATCCATACGCTATTTGTTTCTTCAGGATATTCGAGCAAATGTTTGTATACCAATCACTCTCTGTTCTCGTTCTCTTCGATTTCTCTCAACCATCTGTCTTCAAGCATTCTACTTTCAACTAGTAATCCATACTACTTAAACCTTTCGATATCATTAGCATTTACCACAATATCACATTGACACAACGTTTACGATAACCAGTCAACTTCTCTTGATGATTACAAATATCAATAATCTTGAATAACTTTAAATAATGAACTTGATATTGATTAACTATATAACCTACAAAAATAGGCTCCAAATATGACCAAAAGACTTGACTTGTATATCAATTTCTATGGGATTTGAATAAACATTTCCAATGATAATAAATTTAACTTACTCATCAGTAAAATCATTGAAAGATTCTAAATATCTAGTGAAATATTTAGAAAAGATAATCTTTTCAGTCATTTAACTGTCTAATAATAAACGGTTAGATTATGAATATATTTCGATTCAAACAATTACAATAATGTTTTAAGCAGAAATGGATATTGACTAGTATTAGAATTTAGACCGAATGATTCGTCCTATTTAGAACTCATCAGCTAGATATACCAAAATTATCAGAATGGGTTTTGTGGAGAGTTTAAGAAATTTCACAGGTTGAAATTATGAGTCAGTTGAAGCTAGACCACCATTGAAAACCTAGAAGCACTGGACGGCCGTTTCGTCTAACCAAAATCTTAAAGTTGATATTCATTTCGAGACTGGAACCTAATGTTGTTCACTTCAAACGTCATTGTATTACCCACTTAAGTACTAGAATACAAATCGGTTAAAGAACTATTAGCATTGATATTTTTGTACATAAATTTGATTATCAATATCTACATATGAGTTACATGTATTTACATTACAAGAAGGTTCATTTATTAGTTATAATCTTATCTCTTAACGATTTCATGTTATTCATGAGACGTATTCAGAAATGTAATTAACTCCTATTCTGTAACAGAAGATGACGTTATAGATCTCTTGAAGTCAAAAGAAATCCTGATGCTAAGGGGGTTGTGTGTTTTTTAATAACGTTCTTGATTTCGCTTATTCAAAAATGATCATTTTAGATGAAAAAAAGTTAATAATATGGAGTTCTGAAAATAAGTTTATACTACAATAAATTTATCAGTAGTGTATATCTATAACCTTGAAGAAGTAATTAATGTAATATCACAGTTAGAAATATTACAACTGACCCATTTGATTAACAACGCATTTTCTATTACGTTGAGATATGATATTGGCCTTGATTACGTAATCAATCAGTATAAATGGCTATCCAAATGATTATTATAGTAATTGAATAAAGTAATCTATCTTAATATATATTCTGATGGAGTTTCGTTCTCTGAGCTGGATGGTTTGGTCGTGGAGCTTTCATTGTTCTTCTGAACGACATCATCAGCGTTCCGAAGAACAACGAAAGCTCCACGACCAAAGCATTCAGCTCAGAGAACAAAACTCTATCAAAATCATCTACCTGAGCTACAAATCTTCTCCACCATCTAATAATATATATTCTGTTATTGATTTTGTAGATGGTTTCTCTAGTCCACAGATTCAATTGAATAATTCATGTTTAACAAACAGAACGGTTGACATAAGTCCTCAACCAATCATTTCAAATTCACTATTAGATAATGATAATGAAGAAGATGAAGAGAATAAAGGAAATCTACAAAAAGAATTTAAGATTACATCCACAAGACAACAACAACAGATGTTAGAATTAATACAATCTCGTAATCAAACCGATATGGACACAACCAATAGTGTATTTGTTGATGATACAAACTCTAATGGAAATTATTTGAATAAAACACTAACTTTAAATAATTCAAATGAAAATCAGACTATCAAAGGTAAGATAAGAAAGTTCATTGCTCTTTTCTTCTTATTTTAGTACAATTTAAGTTACAAAAGCAAAAAATAGTTTTAAGCATTTCTAGAGTTCACTTCGACAAAGTTATTTGTAACACTTGAAAATCATTAAAATGATTCAAGAAGAGTCAGAGGATAGTTAAATTCTTGTTACTTTACTCAATACTAAACTGACGACTTATGAACTATATGATGAGTAAGCAAACCATCTGACTTCTGTTATGTTCTTATGCCTCGTTTATTACAACGTGATTAATTCGCCGATTAGAACATCAACTTTTATTACCCTTTCACTGTGCCAAACTAATGACGCGTTTACCAATACGAACAGCCTTAAATCAACTCTGAGTCCTTGTTGGTTCTTCTTGCCGAACACTGATCGTTTAAGTTCAGAACACAATCTCAGCTTCCACTGTATGAATTCTACATTTCAGATATACTTGGTTGATATACAAGCAAACCAGACCTCATCATACCATGAATTCGAAAATAACAATTGTACAAGATCAGGCAAAAACGTCGCTGTAATTATGAAAGACTGTAATGAATTTGTGGTGTGTGCGACTTATATTGACATAAGTAGTATATGATGTTAGTCGTAAACAAAAGGTCTGACAGTAGAGAGACAAGAGGAACGAACAGTGAAGAATGGAAACATGATGCAATTTCTATGAAAATGCAAAAACAATGAAGCCTCAGTCATTATGAGACAATTGATGGACATTTTCAAAATTACCTATTTACTATTTGATTGTTAGATTTTATTAACAAGTCCTGTAATTTTGTGTTAGGTACATTCGATTGTCCCCCACTGGTGTTCATGTTCACTACTTCATAGTTATACAATAAGAATATATATGTATAATAACAGATCATAAATAAATCCTAAAAGTTACCATTCATTTATTCTTCCTTAGGATATTTACTTCATGAACACGAATTATCAAGCAACTAGTCAGATATTAGACAGGAGATTACATTATCTTATTCGACAACTCCTTCTGATAATAAAAAGGCATTGTTATTTTTACTCAAAATCAAGCCAAAATACAATAAGCTAACTTTGTTTAACTCTGGTTTGTGATCTACTTTATTTTTATGTGTCAATTACGAAATAATCTTGATAAATCTTATGACTGAATTCTTTAATCAACTTCCTAAGCTCGTTTAGTAATACTAGAGTAAATCTACATAACAACTTGAACACGAAAGGAAAAACTTGAAATCTGTAAATAACGCTTTGCTCTAAGGTTAGATTATGTACAAAAAATTAAGGTATTTACAGCTTTTGGCTTCGAGAAAGTTTTGAAATCCAAATAGAATACAATATGACAGATAAGTTGACGAACAAGTCAAATAACGAGAAAACCAGATAGCAAGTACAAATATATTAACAGAATTCAACGAGTATATGTATATATAGACATAAATGGATCATCAATGGTTTGAAGCAAATAAGAAAAAAAGTACATGCTGACTGGGGCTGTAGCCTATAATCAATCCTACATATTTATACAAGTATGAGGATAGGATATGTAGAAATATAGTCAAATTATTGCTGAACAAAATGAAACTGTCTATTCGTTAAGTAAGCTAATCAAGGAGTATAACCGATTTGCATATACACAAATTCAGGAGGTAATAAGGAAGCCAGACTGTGGTGTGTGCCACTTATATTGATATAAGTAGTATATGACGCGAGTCACGAATATTAAAACTTTGATGAAACTTTACAAGCAATGAAATCTATGCATGTAATTATTCCGTAAAAAATCATTACTAAACTTTCTATTCTATGTTAGTTGACTAGACCATATTAACTGATTTCATCATAACATTACAAAGCTATATGATATGATTCTTAGATGTCTTACATTGTAAATGACATGTTCAGTTCCATTTGGATGATTGTGCATTTTGTAAAACATTTGATTACCGCTTAATACAATAGGAATAAGAATTTTCTTGACAAGACTATCATCTATGGACGAAGTAATCAGATATAAGATAACAGGTCATGGATTTCGGAACGAAATTCATTCATCCATTTGGTGAAATAGCGTTTTTGACATTTAAGTTAATATCACCTCGTGATGGGAATCTTAAATCTAATTCCTAACCTTAACCATCAACTGTAAATCATAATTCTAACTCCTCAAATTGCTTTATAACTTTCATTTAGTTTTAGTTATTAAGTGGACATTTTGACGATCACTGTGGCGTCGCTCAAAGATCGTCCATACAGTATGGTCATACCGTATTTCATGCACAACAAATCCCTTTTTTAATCAGTCACTTTTTTATTTATAAAACAACTTTTAGTACGATAGTTTCTATCCACTGCTTATAGTAACTTTTTTTAAATATTTGAACAACTTCGTTACACAAGTTACTAGCCATTTCGGACACTTACTGAATAACATGTTGGCCATTTAAAACAAAAGGTACCGGACTCTAGTCTCTATGTGAAAATTAACACTGGGATCCTGGTACATCCAGCTGACAAATCTCAAATAGAACGGAATGTGTATCCTAGGTTCCACTGCTAGCTACAACTCACCAATCTTATTCAAATTTTATTTTATATCAACAGAGCATTTATTTCATTTAGTTTCAGTTAAAGAAGTTTGTTTGTTTGTTTATTTGTTTTTAATTCCTAGATTCCAGTTGGAAATTATCTATTTATACAGAGAAATCAGCACAAAACTGTGAAATCGTTTTAGTCGTCTACGGCATAGACGGTAATTCAGGTCCAATATTAATTGGTAGATCAAATGATGAAAAAGGATTATTTCTGGCAAATAGAATTGATAATTTTATGGTAAGTAGCAATTTGGAAGACTCTTCCGGTCTCCCACATTGTACGAGCATTCCATGTACCTAAATAAATGGTTGCTGTGGTTGTCAGAAGGGGCATCAGCCTCCTGACTTTTGAAGGGACTCGGCTTTCACCATAAGGCATCATAGCTTTTCTAAATGAAGACCTTATGACTCCCAGGGAAGAGTCTAAATGGCTTGAATAATTTTTTTCTGGTTAGCGTTTTTTTAGCGATTTAGTTTTCTACGGGATGGGGTCGCTAATCCCACGCCCAACCCTCCTTCTTCATCCGGGCTTGAGACCAGCAGTAGCCTCAGAGGGGCTCCAAGAGGAGTTTTCATGGTAAGTAATAAATGATTATTTAATGAATCGGTCAAATCTATCATTTTAACAACAGTAATGATTCATTGCTAATTATAGGTTGTTTTTTTGTTATACTTTTGACTAAATGTGCAATTGAATGTAGTCGAGCGGTAAATTGATGGAGAGTATTGAAGAAGAAAAAATTTACTTTAGATTATCTACTAATTGCAATAAAGTCTATTTGTAATAAAATATCACATTGACAAATCGAAAAAAATCTTTGTGTGTATATTCCGTACAACCGAACACTCTTTTCAGTTAGTTGGTATAATAACTGTCTTGTAAAATCCTATTCTAAAGGTTTTTTCTAGTGTAAATGTCAAGGGACTTCAACGATAAGCAGCCTTAAGAGATGACTAATCTAATTAAAGAATAAAACCTGGTAATTATTTCATAATAATGAAAGATTAAAGTCAGAAACATGATTCATCTTCACCCTTGACTGGAGATAAGCGATCCCAAACACACCTGCCAGTTTAACATCTATATCTTAGAATCCAAGGTGATTATAATGAATCTATTATTTATCATTCATAAAGATCTTCCTTCTACCTACTGTAATTCATGACAAACATCCTTTCATTTTATATTTGGCATTCTTTAAACAGCTTGTTACATCAAATTTTTATTTGTTCAGTAAATAAGTATTATAAAATTTACTTGAATAATTGATCACTTCCTATGTGATTTTACTGTTTTAATTAAATCATTACAACAAAGCGATTAATTATTCTACTTACTTATGCCTGTTACTCCCAGTGGAGCATAGGTTGCCGATCAGCATTCTCTAACCCACTCTGTCCTGGGTCTTCCTTTCTAGTTCCATCCAATTGTTGTTCATTCTTCACATGTCTGTCTCTGTTTCTCGGTGTACTATGTTCTTTCGTCTTCCTCTACTCTTTTAGCCTTGAGGATTCAAAGTGAGCGCTTGCCTTGTGACGCCGTTGGGTACTTTCCTCAATGTATGTCCCATCCACCTCCTCCTGGAGACCGTCTGGGACCACTGCCGGTCCCAAGTTCGGATAAAGGACGAGGGTTGGGCATGGGGTTAGAGACCCTATCCCGTATAAAGCTAACTCGTTAAAAGACGTTAACCGGAAAAAATTATTCAAAGCGGTTAATATGAGTTGAAAATAACAGTTTTGACCACTGAATGAAAAAAAACTAAACAGTTTTACATTTAAAATTTCATATTAATTAGCTATAATGAATTAGGTGGTCATGAAAAAGACAAATATCGATGACTTTCCTGATCAAAGTTGTATGTAAATTGATTCTTAAACTACAAAGAGGGATTCTGTCGTGAGAACGAAACATACAAATCTTATGATTCAAAGTATTAAACAGAAATAAGAAATTATAAGCAAAGATGAATAATGGATAGCAGTGAAAACCAGGACATGCGTTCCATCCCATTTGAGACTTGATAACTGAATGTACCTGCATCTCAGATTTGATGTTCACCCCGGGACTCGAACCCAGTACCATTCCCTTCAAACGCTAGAAACTATCTATTTTGCTTAGAATGTTTATAAATTAAAACAATATCGAGGCAATTCACGCAGAACATACATATGCTAATAAGAGACTGATCAGTTGTAGTCCTAAACATCAATGGGAAGAATCAAGTAAATAATGCCAAGTGAATAGAAATAAGAAATCATATAAAACGATACATAATTCAGTGAACAGATTAGATCCTATCAAGTGATTATACAAATTCTAGATAATAATAATATGGATTAGAACCCTGTAAATCATTTAATAAATCAATACAAGAAAACTTCGGAAAAATACATTTCAATGATTGAAACCATGAGTCAATTGAAGCTAGAGCACCAAGGAAAACCTAGAAGCACTGGACAACCGTTTCGTCCTAGTATGGGACTCCTCAGTAGTGAGTATCCACGATCCCGCCCCAGTGGAGTTCAACCAGCTCTGTTGGAGATATCAACTCACTGAAGACAATGGTGTACTGTGGCGCGATTTCGTGGATTGGTTGAAGTTAGACATTAACACTGTTGGATGACGGCCGGCTCAGTACTCTAATGGTTATGCGCTCGCGCGCGAGAATGATAGGTCCTGGGTCCGAATCTCGTTGGGGACGGCGGGATCGTGGATGCGTACTACTGAGGAGTCCCATACTAGGACAAAACGGCCATCCAGTGCTTTCAGGTTTCCCATGGTTATCTATCTTCAAATGGCTCATGATTTCAACTATTGAAATTACTAAAATCTCCACAAAACCCCTTCTGATAAAAATATTTTTATAAATGAGTTTAGACAACATACATAATTGTTTATCAACATAATAAATAACTTGAAATAGAACATATAACTAAAATTTGTTTTATACGAGGGACAGTTGATCAAATAAAAATTAAGACATTACCCTGTTTAAGTTGACTTTCTATATATAAAACGTTAGATGGAACCATCATTGCTTCTATTAATCAGGATGTCTGGGAAATTAAATGTTTATGATTAATGATTTACTTGACTCCTCAAAGAATTAGAGACTAACTTTCAATATAACAAGTATCAGGAAATAAAATTTCTGGAAGAAATAATTAACCAAGCCAACACGAGTTAACAATTGATTTAGTAGTATATGTGTATTGTGTAGGTATAAAGAAATAATGACTGATTGTTTTGCCTAGACAAATTGGTAGATGATAATTTGATAAGTAATTGATGTATCACATATACCATTCTGCCATTATACTTACTTGATTATTGCTTTGTCGATTGTTGGCTGTTATATGTACTAGTTAAACGAATCATAAGTTCCTGATTTGAGTTAGTGTTGGTGTCTAGTAGAATAGTGCTGGTTAAGAATCTAGTAATGAGTTAATGAATCATATACACAGATAAATTGTTCATTGTGAGTCCTAAGTAATTTAATATTTCATTAGTGTAAAGGAGAAATACGAATGTTATTTTATTGTGATAAATTAAGGAGAATCATGGAGATAACTAAATGACTAATAGAACTATTATTATAAGTGTTGTATCAAAATGATGTATTTCAAAGGATACAGTTATAATGTCTCCTTCAAATGCTCTCTGAATCTTTAAAAAAAATAAAGCTAATTTTTCTCTTGACCATCTTAGTACATTAATAAGAGCAGACAACATTTATTGGTAAAAGGAGGCACCAAATACATATGCGCCACACAAATCTCATTTGATATGTGTGAGTGCTGTGATACTTAGAATCCTAAACTATTGCCTAGGATCTTCAAGTCTAGCGCTAAGTCGTAATCTAGTAGTCCATTAGTCTTTGGGATAATTCACGTATATATCAGCCTCTACGTCAATTGGAACTGACCAGTATAATTGAATAGCAAGTATAAGTTCATCTTAGATTCTCGGAAATTATTTATTTATTTTAACACATAGATATCGGTACAAGGAGGCACCAAATACATATGCGTCACACAAATCTCATTCGATATGTGTGAAGGCTGCGATACTGCCCGGGTGACCAAACCGAAACAGGTAGTTTTCTTAGAGGGCCACACCCGGAGCCTTCGACCTGAAGGTCTAATCCACAAGGCAGTGGAGCAACGTAAGGAGATGTAGTCCCATGGAAGCCGGTGATCAACGATTAGTTCAAACACCGTTTGTTCCTTCAGGATACTGTAGCCCATGTGCATATTTGGGATCAGGGTTTCCCAACTCCCCTAGGTGAACTCCCCATGTCCACCAACCCAGTTAAAGCACCGGACTTTCGCTTTTCGTCCTCTCGATTTCGTAAACAACACCCTCGCCACGAGAAAGCAGTGAGTAGGACTTCCCTGGCAGAGGCTATATACACGTGGCGATGTGAGAGCGTTTGGAGAGGAAGAGCGGTCTCTCCTCATTCTCGGCCGTACTAGGTCATTTGGGGGCAGACAACGATTGAAGCTCGACCCGGCATATATACATAGCTTAATATAAACAGGTAATGTCATGAAAGAACCCTTATATAATCATCAATTTCATTCATAGTATACTAGGAATACAATAAACTCATACATTCAAAGTAATATTCAAGTTATAGATCGTACAGTCGGTAAGTTTGGATTCAAGTTCATTCTTTAACTCATTTCAAAACTGTTATTAATCTAAGTTTCATTTTAAGAAGAAACCATCTACAATTCCATCAATTAGTTCTTTTATAACTTAATAAAACCAAAAAAAATTTACAACACAATACCATATATTTATTTTAATAGATTATAGTGGGAAATATCGGTTCAATTTATAAGATACGTCTAGAAGTGAATCAAATAAATCCGGATAATGATAGTGAATGGGAAGTTGACAAAGTGAGTATTAATAATGAAAATAACATTACAATTTTGCTTATTATTTATAACTATTCATTGATGAATACAATTCGGTAAACGAATACAAACACTACACTTTAAATGATGATTATTATATGAAAGTTTGATTAGTCTAGTGCTTAAATTAACGATTTACTGAAATATGATTAAAGAAATAATAAGGAAAACCATTGAAATCACGAAATGATCAAAGTTATTTTCACAAATTTCTATGATCCTATAATTTTTAGAAGGCTATAAGAAGTTGATGTAACAGTTTATTTCAACACAGTAGAGATCAAACGATCAACAAGCATATAATATGACAGATAAGTTGACGAACAAGTTAGCTAACGAGAAAACCAGATAGCAAGTACAAATATATATTAAAATCTCCACAAAACCCCTTCTGATAATAATTGTATAGCTAAAATAAGTCATATTAATTTCAGTCAAAATAACGATACATGTGAAGTAAACAGATTGAATAAAGAGAAATGGATCCAATTACTTGTCAGCGAATATTTGCCAGGTAGTCACTAGTTGAATACCATCCTTTCAGTTGAAGCTGTTCTTTTTTGCCCATATATACAGCGCTTCTGCTGTTAATCTTTCTTTATAAGTGTCAAAATCTTTCTGAAGTATTTTGGTCCTTCCAAAATGAATCTTGTGTCCTGTTTTTAACTCATATGACGCTATCGCAGGATTTGGGAACATTTTTCAAACACTATTTATGTTCCTTCAACCTTACATAATAATACTTACTTACTTACTTACGCCTGTTACTCCCAATGGAGCATAGGCCGCCGACCAGCATTCTCCAACCCACTCTATCCTGGGCCTCCTTTTCTAATTCCATCCAATTCTTGTTCATCTTTTTCATGTCTATTTCCATTTCTCGACGTAATGTGCTCTTTGGTCTTCCTCTTTTCCTTTGGCCTTGAGGATTCCTTGTGAGGGCTTTCCTTGTGACGCAGTTGGGTGCTTTCCTCAATGTGTGTCCTATCCACTTCCAGCACTTCTTCCTGATTTCTTGCTCCACTGGGATCTGGTTTGTTCTTTCCCACATTTGGTTGTTGCTAATAGTGTCCGGCCAATGGATCTGAAGTATCTTGCGTAGACAACTGTTAATAAACACCTGTATTTTCTGGATGATGGCTTTCGTTGTTCTCCAGGTTTCCGCCCTATACAGTAGAACTGTCTTGACATTTGTATTGAAAATCCTGACCTTAGTGTTGGTTGACAGTTGCTTTGAGTTCCAGACGTAAATATGTTGCTCTTGCTTTGCCGATACGCGCCATCACATCTGCATCAGATCCACCATGTTCATCATACATAATAATAATAATAATAATAATAATAATAATAATAATAATAATAATAATGGTAATATTTGCATAATAATAAATATTGATTGTTTATCATTCAATTAACTTATTTCTTTTAAGTTGATTCTAGAAAATGTTAAAATAAACAAACAATTAATATTTGATTTTATTGGTCGACCATTTGGAAAATTAAACAATTTTTATTGTTTATCCCGAGAACAAATTACCCATTTACATTTGTCAACTAATAAAATAATGAAGAAACAATCAAGAGAACAACAAGAAGGAGAAGACGAAGAACAAGAACAAGAAGAAGAAGAATTCACATTATGTTTATTGAATTATCGTATACAATTAGAATTCAGTGATGATGTAATTAAAAGAAATGATAAATTAAATATTGCATTAGAACCATATATTTGTTTAATTGGACAATATGGTGATAGTGGTCGTAGATTAATAGGTTATATTACTGATAAACAATTAATTATTAATGAGAAAAGAAATATTCTGGTAGGTTTTTTCTTCTTTTTCTTAGTGAATAGTTTACAATTATAATAAAATGATTTTTTTTCTTTTTTTCTTTTGTTTTTAATAATTGAATTTATGAGTCGAATTAAGATAGATCCCTATTGAAAAATCTGGAATCAGTGGACAGCCGTTTCATTCTAGTATGGTATTCCTCAGTCAGTACTTAATAATCACCACAACTCCTATACTGATAACTAACATGTGCTCACTAGTGATTAGATTCGTGAAGGAATTCTAGGAGTTTTAGTGAGAAGCCGTGACCAATGGAGCTAATCTGTGTCAAGCAGAGACAGGTATCTACTTCAGTACAATGGAAGATGGTCGCGCAATTTTGTAGATTGGTTAAGGTTAGACATTAACACCATTGGATGCCGACTCAGTGGTCTAGAGGTTAGGCGTTCGCGCACAAGATCGAAGATCCTAGGTTCGAATACCGCTGGCGGGACCGTGGTTTAGCACTGCTGAGGAGTCCCACAATAGGACGAAACGGCCATACAATGCTCCCAGGTTTTCAATGGTGGTCTAACATCAAGTGGTTCATGATTTAAATCAAAAAATATTTATACTGTTATATTGTCCTTCAAGTCTCTCTATCGTCCATAGAAAATCGCGATTATAGTATATCCTCGTAAATAAAGTATTTTTTATATTTTATTGAATTCACTTTCAACACTGATGTTAATAACTGATGTTATGTCCTAGGCTATACAATTCTCGCGAAATACGAATACCAAATTTAGATACGCTGACTTATACAACCAAACTAATATGATATATAGACCAGTACGAACAGCCTAGAGTCCCGATTGTTCTTTTTTTCCCGCCTAGCTCTACCTGTTAAGTTCAGAACGCCAATATTAGCCTCCACGATACGATTCATATATTTCAAATATACTGAATATATATACACACAAATCAGACCACATCACACTATAAAATAGAAAATAACATTTGTACAATATCTAACCAAAAGTGGCTATGATTATGAGAAGTTGTTACTGATAAATTGGTAAATCGTATGATAATAGTCAATGGGTCAAATAAAATCTTATAATGAAATGAATATGAATATACACATAATATAGTCACTTAATAGTCATACAATATAAGAATATACTTATAATATTAGTCTATAAGTAATTCCTAACGGTTATCATTCATTTATTCCCGTCCGGATATAATAACTGGAACTAATTTTCAATAAAAATTGCAAATATACATTAACAAGTGAAATGATTCATTTATTTCTTAATAAACTGAAAAGTCAATATCCTTACGTAATACACTGATCATGTGTATTGTTAAATAATGGAAACCAGTGATGAAATACATTTATTTAGATGAGTTATAATATCGTAACATTGTAAAATTCATTCGAACTGTATTTACTCTACAAGATTAATTAAAGACCTAACCTACCATACATTGATTATGTCATGTCATTCAGTGTTGATTATCTTATTGAGCAGTTGAAAACTACTCCATGGAAAATCAATTACAGTTTGAAAAACTCTTGAAAACATTTTATACAATCACGGTTGAGTAGAGGCTTTTTTTTCGAAACATGACAGACCATGTGTTGTGTATTTGATTGGATAATTATACTCTTGCCACCATATTTATTATATTTCTAGAACTTTCTAGACTATCTAGCTCTGATTATTTAGTATAAATATGCACGATTTTCTGAACATGCCTAAAACTTAGAATAAAGAGTCTTTTTATCACTTCACACTTTTTCTCTTGTGTCCAAGTTTCTAAGTAAATTTGATCTGGGGTTTATTAGAGAAGGCTAAGAAATCGAATAGAACGTTCAACTGGCAGACTAATCAGATTTAAAATAAAAATTTATCAAACTGATTAACAAGTAGGACTCATTAACAAAAGCTCTTTTATTGATTCGTGTAATATTTAGAGATGGAATTCAAGATGTCACATTTCGTACTTTGATTTCATTAACTTTATATACTACTAATAATGATAGTGATAATAATACCAATAAGAATGTCAACTATAAGCCAAAGCACTGCCTATATATCTGCATCATATACAATTAAAGAAATCCATTCCTGTTGATATAATATGTAAACACATCAATTGTTACTCAGTAACCAAATACATTCATTATCATCTTCATACCTGAGATGACACTTTGTGCATTATATAATATGTGATGTTAAATACAAGTACTCACTTAGTAATAAAAGCACCTATGAAAATTTGAGATAATTATCTTCCATTTTTATAGCTAGCTGATAGACATTTTTTTAAACGTTTAACTGATGGGCAACACATGTATTTTATTCCTTTTATTACTCCTTTCCCACCAACAGGTACTTGATACGTTGATTGAGTCAGCTTATCTTGGTGAGGTGACCAGCTGCTTTCTAGGTCCAGTTGATATTGAAGAACGATTACAAGAGGAACGTACTGGTTTACTATGTACTAAAATTTTGATATGGGATACAAAAAAAGAGGTGGTTTACGAAATCCCAGCAGATACGTAAGTTTTGCTTAATTATAAATAAGCTTGTAGCCGAATATAGTCAAGTTTTCACACACACACAATGCACCACTAAGTAGTACGGATTATGGACAGGTTTAGCTGAAGACTAATAACAATTTGGAGTCTTAGGATTTTGTTTCATTTCTATGACTGAATTAACCAATATGATATATATAAGCTACATACATTTACCTCACTTGTCTACTTATCTTATTTGCAATTCAGTCATGTAATATTCTTGTGCATCAAGACAAAATTTTATAGTTACCAGTTTTCAGATAATTTTTGTTCTTTTTTAGTTGGTTACTTTTTAAAAGAAATGAACAAACACATGAAATTCACCTGGAAGTTGGTCGTAAGTCTTGAATAATTTTATAAACCTACCATTTGTTGATTTTTGAAGGAAAAAAAGAACTTCTTTAATTCATCTTATGCAAATCCAGATACATAATTACTTACTCCTGTTAGCCCTTGTGTAAGAGAATAGTCCGCTCACCATCATTCTCCATCCGAATCCGTCCTGGGAAATTCTCTCCAGTTCTTTCCAGTTGCTATTCATCCTTTTCATGTCTACTTCCAACTCTCGAAGTAGTGTGTTCCTCGGCCTTCCACTTTTCCGTTTCCCCTCAGGATTCCAAGGTAGGGCTTGCCTCGTGATGCAGTCTCGTGGCGTCTGTAATGTATTTCCTATCAGCTTCCATCGTCTTTTCCTAATTTCCTCTTTAGCTGGAAAATAGTTTGTCCTCTCCTACAGTAGGCTGTTGCTCATGGTATCCGGCCAACGGATGTTGAATACCTTGAGTAGACAAATATTTATAAATACTTGTACCTTCTTGATGGTGGTTGTTGTAGTTCTCTACGTTTCAGCTCCATCCAGTAGAACTGTCTTGACTTTCATATTGAAGATTCTGACTTTTATATTGGTTGACAGTTGTTTTGAGTTCCATATGTTCCTTAATTGTAGGAATACGACCCTTGCTTTGCCAATCCTTGCCTTTACGTCTACATCTGATCCTCCTTGTTCATCGATGATGCTTCTCGGGTACGCGAAAGATTCTGCATTTTCCAGAGTTTCGCCATCAAATGCGAATGGGTTGGTGTTCTCCGTGTTGTATTTGAGGATCATTTTTTCTCCTTTGTGTATGTTGAGACCTACTTATGCAGAGGCTGCTGATACACTAGTTGTCTTTATCTGAGTTTGTTCGTGTGTATGGTTTTATTTATTTATTTATTTTAACACATATATATTGGTACAAAGAGACACCAAATACATATGCACCACACAAATCTCGTTTGATACATGTGAGGGCTGTGATACTGCCCGGGTGCCCAAACCGAAACAAATGGTTTTCTTAGGGGACCACTCCCCGAGCCCGCGACATGAAGGTCTAGTCCACAAGGCAGAGGGGCATCGTAAGGAGATGCATTCCCATGGAAGCCGGTGACCAACAATTGGTTCATACGCCATTTGTTCCTCCAGGGTACTGGAGTACATGTGCACCATTGGTTTAGAATAGGAGGGCTAGGTCATTTGCGAAGTTCAAATCGTTTAAATGATTCTGAGCTGTCCATTGTATTTCGTACTTTCCCTCAAATCTCGACGTCTTCATAATCCAGTCAACCATTATAAGAAAGAGGAAAGGGGAGAGTTGACAGTCTTGTCTGACTCCGGTCCTTACGAATCCATTACACCAATCAAATTTTCCTCATTCTGGAAACCGAACTTCTTTTGCTTAATATAAACTGCTTGGTCAAATTAGTATATCTGTACAACCCAAATATGATTCAATATTATTCTATGTTTATTTTCTTTAAAGTTTGGACACTGATGTGATTACCTGATTGTATGTCCGATGAGATCAATGATCTTTTTAGCAAATGACTCAAAGGTGGAGATCAAACAACGTCACATTCATACAACTTTAATACTAACCATTGAAGATTGACCAGATATATAACTAATTATTTGATAGATATACAGAGCATATTGATCAATACAAACGTTTATTCTCAAAGTTTGAAACTTTTAAAAATATACCTAATATTAACATACATTTAAGGGTCTTATATTCTTATCAATCAAGTACATCTGCCAATGATGTACAAATATATAAGTAAATAATTTTTTTGAGTAATGAGCAATATAATGTTTATCTGATCTATAGAACCTATTGAACTCTATCAAATGAATTGTGACACTAGTATCAGTGTAAACGACTCGATATTATGTACACCCAGGCAGTAATGAAACCCTCTGAATAGAAACATTTTTAAGCATGTTGTAACATATTAAGAGAGTAATACAAAACCAAAAATACACATAACTTTCAATTAACTAGTTTGATTGTTGTTAAAATATCATAACTAATTCATGGTGAAAAGGGAACATTATCACTGCTTAATTAGGAATGATGATACTGATTCTAATTATACGACGGAAGAGTTTACAAAATCAAATCTCTAAAATATTTTGATTTTGATATAAATATTGAATTTGCTGAGTCATAATGTGACATTCCTTTAAAGATTGATCAAATTTCATTTAAACATATCAACAATCGGATGATCCAAACCATTTTACATTCGATTAAATCTTATATGCATTGCACAAGTGAGTAACTAACTGGACTCAGTAGCTAATTGGATAATGTGATGGCGTTTTGAGCCAATGGGATTAGATTAGAGTACTAGAGTGAAAATCAACTGTAGGATCCAGGTACATACAACTGGCAAGTCCTATACGCGTCCTGAATCCCATTGCTAGCCACCATCCATCTCTGCTTATCATGATTGTGAATTCATGGAAATATCGAGTCAATCCACGCTGAATGTACATATGCCAAAAGATATTAACCAATTCCAGTCCTTAATATGAATAGAAAATTTAAACTTATATGGAGAATCAATCAGAAGTAGCCTAATGAGAAGGTCAGTCGATGGCAATAAGAAGTGACCTATACAAAAAGTGCATTTCATTGGCTAAGAAATGGGTCAATTTCCTTTGGATTACACTGGTTTGTATATGAATGAGTATTTGTGCACTTTATTCAGTAGTCCAATAAAATTTCTTACTCAAGTAGTCAGTTAGGGGGTTAACGTGTAGCACACCGTGTGTCAGTATCAGAATTCGGATACCGTCTATCACAACACACAACTAATATAAATGGATTATTCTAAATCATTTAAAAAGAATTTCACGTCAGATATTAAATAATCTTCACAGGTTTATCTACTCACTTTTTTCACTAATGATAATATATAACTAACCAATTGTAAACAATTATATAATATGAAGGCATTATGCCATATTATCCTATAAACTAAGCCAAAAGTAAAACTCTACTCGGTGAATTGATTTTACTACTACTTGACGTCGTAACATCTCACCAAAAAGTAACACGAGAATACACATCTTCAGTATATTATTTTTGCAATAGTTTCAGATGTTCTTTTTCATATTGATTGTTTGCGCAAGCTAGGGGCTATCTGGACTCATTGACCAAATGGAAAAAGTAATGACTTTTGAAGAGGACGGTACTGGGCTCGTGTCCGGGAATGAACGTCCACTCTAGGATGCAGGGAACATCCAGCTGACAAGTCCCAAATAAGAAGAAACGCGCGTTCTAGATTGCACTGCTAGCCATTATCCATCTCTTCTGATAGTTTCAAATATTTTTAAACTGTATTCTTTTAGTTGTTCAATTCTATAAAAATGAAAATTGAACTTTCCAAAAGAAACACATTCCTTTGACTGACTAATATCAAGAATCACATTGATCAATGTGATTTTTATGTTTCACCTTTGAAAATCAAATCCCAAAAACTATTTGTTTGATTAGCATTAAATTAATAATGTTGATAGTAATAGATTTACTCAATCCAAATGTCTGGTTACGAGAATAATTAATAGTACTGAATGTATTTAGTGATAAATAAACAACTGGATCTGTCTAAAACATCCTTGAATAATTACGGATAGATCAGAGAGTGATCACAGGAAAACACCATGAATAAACCTAAATATATTTTATTAGAAATATGAATGAAGCGCGTAACAATATGTAAATGATTAAATACTTCATACAAACACGCCTCTTATGATAGAGAGGGTGAGACTATAATTTATGGACAACATTTGAGCAACGATAAAGTGACCCTGAGAGTGTTTACCTAATAACTAGGAACAAATAAGGGTTATAAACCAGCGTCCATAAATTATAGTTTCGCCAAAAAATTTATCCCAACTGTGTACATCTTCCATTTATCTTCAATTGTATACATTCTCGACCTTTTCCATACTACATAAGATGTTTAATTTACGAATTCCAATGTATCCTTCACCTGTTTCTTTGATGAATAGACAACAAGAAAAATACTCCAACCACCATAACGTTTCTGCTTATAACGGTTAGCATTTAGCGTAAGTACATTAAGTGATTTGTACACAATGATTTCGTTAAAGTAAATGCTTTCAGCAGTACAGTTAAACCTTTAAAGTAGATAACCTAACTGTTTGACCAGATTCCCAGGGAGTTATGCACGTTTTAAGGAAAAGTCATGATCAGTGTAGTCGACTACATCAAATCTAAGATCATCACCATGAACATTTATTTTGTATTATACAAAGAATGAAGTGCTTGGAAATTCAAATCATTAGATTCGAAATAAACAGTTCCAACGGATTGTGTACGTTGTGAGACCTGAAGATCTTTGGTTCAATCTCATGTGTAGTTCTAGTTTGGCTTTATACCCTACTAACTATGGTATAATACATTTTAAAATCAGTATATAACTGTCATATATCCGAGGGCTTATACAATTCTGAACATATGCCAGTTCAATACATTAATTAAGTGTTTATTTGAACTACTTAATGAAGCAAAATCTCTAGTTTAAAATAGGACAACTGCAACAGAAGACTAAACTTTGTATTTACGACTTCCAACTACACGCAAATCTTCTTGCAAAACTCGTGTTGACTATCTAATACAATGTTAACTCGTTTACTGTATATCTTTCTAAATCTCTAAAAGGTGATATTTATAAAACTTCAATTTATAGATTATGTAACCAAATAGAGAATTCTCAATCTCTACATACTTTGTAACTAGAATTGAACGATTCATTAATTCAGAATTGATTTCGTTTTCTTCTAATCACAGAAATACATTCCATCGAAGCATATGAAGAGGAATCTAATGATGAAATAATCAAATCAGATGAAACGACTCCAGTTGTCGATCAATATGAAGGCAAGTTATAAAAACAAAAATGAGTCGTTACTTATATGTTAAAGAGTCTATTTAATAGCGAACAAAATAAATGGATGGAATTTCAGTGAAACTGAAGAAAGTAGTTCATGATAATCAAAAATGTCTTTGCAGTGTATATCTATCAACTATTCCAAACCGTTCATTGATACTTTTCATTAAAAACTGATATTCCATGTCAAATCACTGAAGTTCATGAAGAATTTAACAACTGTTATATGTTGGTTTTAAACATCTATGCAGAGCATACTTTGGATTACAGATTAACTAATATCTAGTATATCTATGCTTCCTCAATGGTACTATGCTTTCCAAGACATTATAAAGTTTGATTTGGAAAATGCCCACTAATAAGTTGTTTCTTGAGTAGATAAAAGAAAACCCTGATTCAAATTGAGTTTCCAAGGTGTCATTATATCGCAGAGTAAACAAACTACAGATTATTATATTTCCTTACAAACTATGAAAATGAATAATATCGATTCGTACTATAAGAGTATCGTAGAATCTGTACAAGTGATGAATAACTTATGTTGATAAACTTTAATTTAAGTATTACAGATATCAACACATTATTAACAAATAATCAAACCTAATTGATAGGATTAGATTGAGATCAATTTATTTTACAAACTGTAAAAATTGGTCGTCGGGTAATGGCTGATCTTGTATGTTATTTAAAATCTATTGATTGTGTTAATGTGATCATAAACTATATGATACTGGAAAAATGGATGGTAGCTAGTAGTGGAATTCAATTTAACGCGCACTTCGTCCTATAGACTCGTCATATAGATATACCTGCATCACAGAGTTGATGTTCACTGTGAGACTCGATACAAATGCAAATCACCACACTGAACTATTGGAGCGAACGGTACTGGGTTCGAGTCCCAGAGTGAACATCAACTCTGAGATGCAAGTGCATCTAGCTAAAAAGTTTCAAATAGGACGAAACGCGCGTCAAACTGGATTCCACTGTGAGCCACCATCCATCTCTGCTTATAGTACTTGTGAAATAATGCAATTAATGCACACATGCCAATAAGTGACTGATCAAGTTCAGTCCTAAACATCAATGGGAAGATTCGAACAAGCAATACATAATTAATGAGATCATACTGTATTAGTGTACGTTAGACAATGTATGAAAATTGGAATATACTAAAAAGTTAAATTGACTGGACTGTGTACTTTTTAAACCTAACAAGCTATTATTTAGATGCTGTAAATAAGTTGGCTCATTTCAGTGGTATCACATTCTTCTCAGTATAACTTTCTGCTTCCTTTAGAAGATCTTTTTAAACTTCATTAAATAAAGTATGTTATAGATTTTAGACTGTTCGAAGCTGATGAGAAGCAACGAAATAGAATAAATCCATTTCATTATGTGAACTATATTATTTTTGCATTATTAAAGTGAAGAATTTTCTAATTTATTCGATGTATTTTTGACTAATAGTTGAATCCATTCTACTGTAAATGAACTGTTTTTGAAAAGACTTGAAGCTCATTTGTCTAAGACACTATATATAAGGACTAGTAAAGGGATGCAAAACATTTCATCTATGTTAAATGGAACTATCAAGTTGAACAGTTGAACATAATGTATGGTAGGTTAAACAAAGAACACTTTTCTTAGAACACTTGAACATTATTAATCGCAGATGACAACCATCTCCTGTTCAATAAGGAAATATAACCACATTCAAGACATCATACTAAGATATAGGTACGTTAAATTAAGACAGGTCTTGGGTTCGATCCGTGGTGACATGGTTATGGATACACATTGCTGAGGAGTTCTATACTGGAACAAAACAGCTGTTAAGTGCTCTCAGGTTTACAATGGATATTTAACTAAGATCATTCTAGAATATTAACTAGGAAGTAAAAAAAATCAGTTCACTAATTTTTCAACAAAGTAACAATAATGAAACACCCATATAAAAGACTATGACAAAAGAGACTAATCTGTACAGCCTTATAAATTATGAAGTTAATTCAGTTGAAATTAATACATCTATATTATCCCTATTATTTTCAAATATTAAGTCAACAAAATCGACATTAGAAACACTTCAGAAGATGTACATTATAACACAGAAGATGAATTGAATATTTTACGTGATGGTAAGCTAACTCGAATTATTATAAATTTCATAACTAATTTATAATCATTTTAAATATAATTCATAACAGTTGAATTTAGGAAAAGATATCAATTAACGTTAAATTCCAACTAGTTTATTTTCTGATCTATTATATAGGATTCAAATCAATTTCAAACAGTTCGGAGAGTTTTCACCAAAACAGTTGATAACACCGGATGAACCATTGAATACTAATAACTGGGCAGCTGTTTGAATCATAATTTAAGGCTTCCTAAAGATCTACAATGAGGATCCCAAGTGACGTAGCTCAGAAACATTAGGTTTAGCAATGAGCCAAAGTACTTTTGGACCACAGAACTGGAACTCGATGGTTCATATTTCAATATTAAGTTGTCAGGATTTGGTGCAATAGGTTTTGATGCTTTTTTCTCAAGGTGGTCGGTAGAAAACACTGGACATATATTTCGTACTAGTTGGCACTCTTTACTAGTGGTAAGACTGAAACTTGATTGATAAATCCCACCAGTGGTCTTGAGTGCTATTAGAGGTATGAGGGCAGTTATCACTTCCTGGTTGCCCACACCGTGGAAGGGTTCTTCTGGAGGTACCTGAAAAGGAAATCGGATTAGAAGTGGTCTTAGAGACCAGGGAGCGTGACCGCAGTGCCCAAGGGACAACTGCTTGAGATCGGTCACACACGACCTTTTTATGTGCAATTTTTGTGTTAGCTCCGTACTTGTTGAGACCTTACCGCCGGAGACGGATATCCGTAGGATAAGGCGAGGTGTGCATTTTTAGGGTCGACCTCTTCTAACCCCACCCCTACTTGTGGGAAGGCAGCATCGCTGTCATGCTGGTTGTCTGAAGGAAACACCTTACTGCTGTCACACCTCTGTACAGTCAGCAGTACGACTTCGCCTTCGGACCTTGGGTTTGTTGCTTTTAGTCTTACCGCTATTCAGTCGACCTTTCTGACGTGGCAGGACCTTGAGGAACAGTTGTTCCAGTCAGTCGGTTGCTTCATTACGATAGGCAAGCCCAACCACCACGTCAAGGTAGCAACAACGGTCGGGGATAAATCCCACCATCTCTTAGGAATAGGCAAACATGACGCTGATCACCATTCAGTAACCAATAAACACATCTCAGTCCTGTGGGTGATCAGTCAGGGCTGTTACAACACTTCAGATTACGAAACTGCGTGACGTAGTTCCGAATTCACCAGCTCCCTGAAGGCTAGATATACTAACCCGACAAATGCCAACTACCACAAAACCTAGGTTTAAGATTTCCAGTTGATTCCCTCCAACTGCCTACCATTATGTAGTCAGTTTATGACTATCAATAAGCGTGGGCACGCAATAATTTCAAGCCATATACAGTAAACTGCTTTTCACTACATCTCGGTTTTCAATGGTTCTTCGGTTGATTTGAGTTTATGAGACAACAACAACTTCGGATTTTATAAATCCCTTCTTACAATATCTTTTTTAGTAATCTAAAAGTTATCCAGGCTGTTAGAAATACCGACTAACACCAACTTTGGGACCGACAAAGGCTTTGCGCCGTAAAGGTCGCTAACAATGATGCAAACGCATTTCGAGTTGATTTAAATCTGAAACTTTGGGTTGTTACATACTTCCTACCACCGCATCACACTTGTTTCTTCGGAAAAAAGAATTCTACGCAGCCAAGCTCGGGATTGTTTTCTCCAGCCGACCTACCATTCTGAGATGTGTTAAGGACAAACCTCCACTTCGGGCCACATCAATGTGTATACATAAATTTACTTGCTCATGTGGGACACGTTACATATGCCGCACAAAGCGATCACCGTCCAAATGCATCTTCGAACTGCTTTAATAACGCTTAGCTTTCCACCCATTTTTAGTCTGTGTGATTTATCTCGTTGTGATGACCTGAGTTGTGGCAAATTCAGCCTAAACGTGTATTAAGTTATACCAAATAACAATTTAAAATTTTCTCAACAGAACACGAGCGACCAACCACATGTTTCAGTCGCATGAGCATTTTACCGACGTAGCTTATAAATATAGTAACCTTTTCAAACCAACTATCGTAAACCTTGTGTAAGCATGGTCAACTCCGATTAAAACGAAAATAGTAGGCGAATTAGTTCCCCCCACATCACTTAATCTGAACTGCGAAAGTCATTGCTAGGTAGGCTAAAATATCTATGCAGTTACTGAACTATATATAAATAATTAGGCAGTCAACCAGTTAGGTCAGAGTCGTCGATATTCATTAAAAATCTGTAGTCGTCACGTGCACAGGACGGACTTATTCAGCGAAATGTACTATCGATTCTCCTAACCCGATGAAGATGTTTGCAAGCTAACAATTATACGAATCACTTCTCATCACTTTCAAGATTAAATTAAGTAACTTGTAAAAACCGGTACGAAAAACAAACACGGTTATATTTTACTGAGCTATTTATTCTTATTTATCATTCAATAAAGTTTTGACAGTAACTAACAATAATGACAATAGAGATTCCCCTTGTCATAATTAAATTCCTTCTCTTTCTAGCTCAACTTTTAGTATCTACCATAATCAAGAAATCGGAAATGAATTTAATGCTTTTTGAAAGTCAACGTAAGTTAATTGTAATAACAATTATATGGTCGAATGAAAACCAATAATTCCCTAGCTTTGTTGCAAACCAACTATATCACCACTAATGATTCAAAAATGGGTGCACAAACCTGTATTTATTAGACGCATTCTAACCAATCACATACCTTTGAACTCCAAAATACGCACAAACTACGGAGCTGTGAAATCACTTTTTACTCGGTGTATGACTAAAGTAACTGACGAGATTTCTTGATACGGATAAAACTACCGTACAGCAT